GAATCTGTAATTCATGGACAATCTGGCAAATTAGGCACAGTAAACATGAAAACCAAAAAGCACCAGGTGCAAATTTCATGACAGCCATCCCAATCTATTATTTCCAAAGACTTCTAAATGGAAAAGGGAATTTTAACCCCCTGGTAAGACCTTTCTTGGTGTCCTGTTGGTGCTTTCTGTGAGGGTCACCTGGTGTCCTGTGCATTCCATGCTCCCTGTGAAATTCCTGCAATTGCAAGTGGAAATACAGAGAGGGTTTATCAGTCCAGCCCACAGAGGTCCAAGCCAGAGGGGCTCAGTCTGCCTCTCCTTTCCCTCAGCAGTGCCATAGGTAACAGCCTGAATTCAGATTCCATGGAAAATCCAAGCAGGGAAATGACTTTAAGGCAGTTTCAGTTTTCCATTGTCCTGAAGTGAGAGAATGTCACCACGTTTGCTTTTTAAACAGCATAGAGAGATTAAAATTTAAAGCATTTTTCCACTGCAAGTGAAATAGCAAAAACATTTCCAGCCATACAAATTTTACATTAAATGAGCTTCTCTTAAGCAAACTTACCTTTCAGGCCCACTCTGAGAGCATTCCTTCATATTTTTATCAGCCCACATGCAGTTTGCTCAACAGTTTTTGATTAATGCAGGGACTGAAGAATGGGAATTTGTTCTAAGTGCAATTTATTCTTGTTAGGCTATTGCTCCAGATTATTTGGGGTTTTTTAAAAATTCAGAAAATACACCATTATAATTTCATACTTAATCTCTGTGTGTTCTCACAATATTAAAGTAATTTAAAAGCTATTTTAAATCTATAGGCATTAGTAATTGTTTAAGACATGCTAAACTACCATCTCATTTATTTTGAGAAGTATCAACAGCACACCTGGAGTATCAGATATATCTAAATTTAGTAACTTCCATTTGCTGAACTGGGTCCAATCTTTCCCAGTTTTCACAGAGAAAATTATGAATACTGATTTTTTTTTCCCAAGCATTGTTCAAGACAGGTTTCAAATTTATTTTAAAATGCTAATCAGATTTCACGAGCTTAAGCTCGGGATTCTAAGGTGGAATCTCTTTATATAAACTAGATAAGGTCAAATGTATTTCTGAGGTAAATTCACTAAGTTAAGTGAATTTGGCTCATGGTTAATAGCTTACTATTCTGGATGGAAGTTTAAAGCAATTATCACAAAGTTGGATTAATCATCATCCTGAAAGCTGTATTTGAAGTGCTTTGCCTGTCAAATAGATTAACAAACTTGTATTTTTTTTTTCTATTTCACTATATATTATTTCAGATTGTATATGACAGAGTCACAGAGCTCCAAGGCCGTGTACTGAAGCTTGTTGTGAAAAGCAAAGGAACATTTGTGGGAGCTGTTAACATTCAACTGAGCAGTGTCCAGTTCAATGAAGAAAAGTGGTACTCCCTGGGAAACAGTGTAATTTAAATGCTCTCCGAGATGATTCAATTATTTGCCCACTCACTAATGTTTCTTTATCCCATTTCCCACGGTACATTTTGTCTCAGTTGCCCTTGAGAATAGGCAGTCATCTGCTGAGCACATATCCTAACATTTCATAATGCTATTGTCTTAAAAGTGCTACCATGTTCCTGCCACAGATTCCTGACAGCGTGAGTTTAAGGAATAACGTGCTAAGGACTTGTAGCAATATGCAGAAAGTTCTTATGACAGCAATGAAGGGCTTGGTTTTGTTAATATTAAATAGTACTGTAAAAATACTAAATTCTCAGCGTGTGGGGCCTCAGTCTTTGCCCATTAATTCCACTGATGGTGTTGAAACAATGCTGGTAATGGTGTAATTTATCATCACTGCATGTGATGAGTTCACCAGAAGACCATGGGATGGTTCCCTGCCAATACATTTCCCTGCAGATGTCCAGTAAATTTCACATTAAATCTTATCCAATCAATACTTTGGGTTTTTTAACGAATGTTAGGAGTTTTGATACAATGTAACATTTAACCCAGGACATTAATTTGTCAACAATATGTATCATTGTTTCTTTTATTCTGACATCCAAGAGGCAGATATAACTGGTCATTTGTGTAAATAGAGAAGGAGGGAGAAGCTAATGTTCATGAATAAAGAGAATATATTGAGTGTGAGCTTTCAGGGGGGTTTTATTTAAGTTCATGATGCCACAGATATTTGTTCAGCAGTCTTCCCACATTGCACTCCTATGCTGCATAAGGGTTTCAAGTCAATACATGCATTGAATAGACTTAGAGCTATAAAATATATGTTTATACATTAAATAATGAATATGAGTTGTTCCTTTAAGTTCACAGATGCTAATTATGGGCTCTGTTTTTCTCTAATTTGAGGAAGCACTCAAGCACCTCTTTAAGCATTTGGCATATGAGCAGCCATTCATATGAACTGCCCATTGCTTCCAGACTCTTGCACACACCCACTGACCATGTAAATAAACCTTTCCAGGGCCAGGGGCACAGTTTTAAGGCACAGGAGATGTGTTGATTTGTGGTTTGATCTGCTGTAAATTTTAAGTTACCATGTACTTGGGCAGATCTGTCCTACCAGGTAGAAAAGTGGTCAACAGAGGGGTAATAATCCCAGAAGTGAAGATAATTGCCTTCTTCTCCCAAAGGACACCCACATCAGTCATCAGAATAGAAAGTTGTATAAAGCTCCTGAAGTGGGACTTGGAGTGTTAGGAAATAAAATAAGCTGGAGTTTTTCTCAGCATCAAACAAATGGACTTGATCAGGTTTTGTCTAAAAATACTTTCCCCAGTCAAACTGATGCTCCTCCTCAGTAAGGGGAGGTCAGGGGAACTCTGTTTGGATATTAATATTATTCCTATATTCAGAGCTGTAAGAAACTGTAAAATATTCACCACATGCAAGGGATATTGGCTGGCACACAGAATATCATCACTACAAAGATCAGGACACCAAACATTTTTGTACTATAGGGTCTCATGGGAAACAAATCAAGTGCCTTGTCATTCAAGCACAGAAAACACAACACACTGAGACCAGCTTACAAAGTTATTGAATCACCTGACCTTACAGTTCAATATTGATTTTAGATTCCTCTTAGTCTACTGTCTCAGTTTCCTTATTAAGACTATAATGCAATTTTCTAACAGTGTTATTTCCTGTGACATTTTCTAACCCTTGTTTACCACATGCCCTGATTTTCCATCTTAGAGCAACATTAAATAAAACAGCATTAGAATAACAATAAATAAAAAGAGCATTACAATCTATCATCAGGTCTTCAAACTTAAGCATTATTATTTGTTATTAAAGAAACTTGTTTATATAACATCCTTTTTTAAAAAAAAATCATATTTGAGAGACAAATCTGCCATTAGTTGTGCAACTGTAGTCCTGTGGAAGGTCAACAATGCCTCAGTTCTGAAAGGAAGATGGGAAAATTGTGTCTCATGGGTAAGATCTACACTGATGTTAAGCAAGTAGTTGTCCTCCTAGATTTCAGACACTTGATTTTTCTAAAATTCTCCAGTTCTCCTCGGAATACTGTGTTTCCAACTTCCTGAGTTCCCAGTAAGATGTATCCTGAGCTCCCTGCTCCTATGAGGAATATGGTTCTTTACAAACTCTCCATGAATTTTTTTATCTTGCTTTAGCAGCAGGACATTCAAGACTAAGCTAAGGAAAGGTACCAATACTAGCATATGATTTTTTTATGATTTTAATTTTTTTCTGAAAGCTATTTTTTCAGGTAAGAAAATGAGAGTGGGCACTAAAGAGGAATAATCCAGCCAGAGCCCACTTTTTACAGATTTAAAGGGAACACTGTATGTATAATTTTTCCTGTCCCCTTGAAAAGGTACAATGGTAAGAAATGTTGTTTAATACAAATAAAAATGCCAATTTCACATGCTTATATCCTAAAAAATTAGCATGATCTCTTATATGTATTGGACTATTATTCTCAATAATTAATCATAAATTTGAAATTAGCTCCAAGTGACATTAACTCAATTTTTAAAATATTCAAAAGCATTCAGTGTTTATTAATTGTTTCTAAACAATCATAGAATAATTGAATCACAGAATGGCTTGGGTTGTAAGGGATTTTAAAGATCACCTCATTCCAACCCCATGCCATGGCCAGAGACACTTTGTAGGTTGCTCAGAGCCCCATCCTACTGGTTTTGAACACTTCCAGGGATGAGGAGTCCACAACTTCTCTGGAAACCTGTGCCAGTGCCTCACCACCCTCACAGTAATGAATTTCCTCCTAATTCCCAGTTAAACTTACAGTTTAATTTACAGTTAAATGTAAATTACAGTTTAATCTTTCAGTTTAAAGCCATCCACCCTTTTCCAATTGCTGCATACCCTTCTGCTGGAAGGTTCTATAAGGTTTCCCTGGAGCTTTTTCTTCTCTAGGCTGAACAGCTCCAACTCTCTCAACCTTTCCTCACAGCAGAGGTGCTCCACACCTCTGATTATTTTCATGACCCTCCTCTGGACTCTCTCCAAAAGATCAACCTCTTTCTTGTGTTGGAGGGCGCCAAAGCTGAATGCAACTTTCCAGGTGGGATCTCCTGAGAGCAGACTAGGAGTGTAAAATCACCTTCCTCAATGCTGATTTTGATAGCAAATGTGGGCTATGTTTCCACGTTTTCAATCAGTGGGAACTTCCCTGGCCTGTCCTGACTTCTCAAGTGAGGGATCGCGGCTCAGGCCAGTTCCCTCAGGACCTGTGGATGTTTCTCATCATGTCCCATGGACCTGTGCACCTCAAGGCTCCTTAGGTTTTCTCAAACCCAGTCTTCTCCTACAGAAAAATAGCAGTAGGGCCAAGGACAGCAGCCCTTATTTGGGATACCCCCTCCATAAAAGTCCCTCTGGCTTCATAAAATCATTGTGAATGTGCCTCTCTGGGAATCAGGCCATTGGGGTTGTTGCAAAGCCACAAATGCTACTTTATTGAAGCAGGGGACAATCCCCCAGAACAATTTCTTCTGCAGAACATCACTAATAGTACCAGACATGAGCAAACAGTGATGCAGGTTCCAGCTTGATGCCTTCTTTGGATATCAACGGAATGTTACGGTAACCTGTAAATATAATGACACCTTTATTAGTGTATTAACCACAAGCACAAATATTATGATGGAGTGTTACCAATGCAAACAAAGCATAATTTATGATTCTGTAAAAGCTCTTTAAAATAAAATAAAATTATACTGGAACTGAATATCATTTGTGCTGTTTTTTCTCATATATATATATATATATATATATAGTATTTCAATTCTGGTATTTTTGGTGTCAGAGTGAAAAAGCCCTGTGTTTTTCAGGACGTGATATTTTTTCAAATGGAAGACTTTCAGCCCAGTGATATTTAAACATGGGCAAACTTACATTGTAACATCCCAGGTTATGTGCTGCACACATTGTTTTGATAGCAAATGAAAGAACTTGTGAATCAGCAGTGATAGCACCTACAGAACGGTGCTGCAGCAGCCATGCACTGTGCAGCTGAGGCAGAAAAAGTGAAGTGTAAGACTTTCTACTATGACTTCTTAAAAAGTTAATTTCATATGAGTAATTCACTTTATCAAGGTCATGCCATCATGAAACTACATGTTCGTCTGGTTGTTGAAGCATTTGGAAAAGTCATAGTTCTCAATTTCAAACATAATTCACTTACCTGCTTAGAAAACAAAACAACTTCTTAAAAATCCCAGCCTGTACTGCTTTACATGACTAAATGTCCATTATTTCATAATAATAAACAATGTCACTTATGGTTAAAAAAAATTCTATATTTTTTCTACATATATATGTAAATAACTCCAGCTATTTAAGTCTGTTTTGTATAAGTATCCATGTTCTGAACTGCAGTTTTCAAAATCTCTCTTTAGGTGTATGTGGATGCCTGTGGAGTCTTTGGAAGCCACATTTACCTGGGTTTGGAATTTCTTGCTTCTTTTATACAGAATCATAGAATTGTTTAGATGGGAAAAGAGCTCTAAGATCATCAAGTCCAGCCTTTGACTGAACACCTCCTTGTGAACCAGGGCATGGCACTGAGTGCCACATCCAATTGTTTCTTGAACACCTTCAGAGATGGTGGTTCCACCTCCTGTCTGAGCAGCTCTTTCTAATAATGAACAACCCTACCGTTGACAAAATTCTCCCTGATGTCCAACTGAACCTTCCCTGGCACAGCTTGAGCCATTTCCCCTTGTTTTGTCATACTACACATAAAGTCCTCTGGTATTTAAGGTTCAGATTCTAGGCAGCAAATATTAAAGCTGGTTGTAGGCAATTTACATTTGAGATCAGTTTTTAAGGCATGCACACAATATGTGGAAGGCTTGGTTGATTTCCTATCCAAAGATACACTTCAAAGACTAATACTAATTTCTGAAGACTTGTGTTCTAGCCCCTACCTACAGAATACTCTACGAAGTTTCCTGAGAGAAGTAAAACTTTTTTTTTATTGAAATTGCCTCAATTTGCATTAAATAATTAACTACTCTTGGATCCCATGATAATAGAGGTAAAAATTGAGTTCCTGTCCTGTATTAGTATTCACCATGGCAGATTCATTGGCACAGGGATTGTGAGAGAGGACTCCCCACTCCTATTTGCCTTTAACCACCCAGGTAGAGAATTTTTCTCAGTTTCAGCCCCTCTGAGTATAGCTACATAATCACTACATGGAAAATCAAATTCTGCTGCAGCTGGACAGCAAGCATTCCTCCCCAGTAGAGTCTACAAGTAGTTGGGAGTCTGCTGCTGGGGAAAGGAAGGCAGTGTGGATATAGATTTGAATCCTTTCAAAAGAAAATGCAGAGGAGGGAGGAAATGGCACAACTTTGCCCCTCTGGCTGTCAAAGAAAATAAAAGATGTAAGCACTGCTCAGCTTTTGGAAGCAACTTGCCCTCAGGGAAGCCTCAGGGATATGAATCCTAGGGACCTGGGGACAGTCCTGTAGTACAGATTTAAGCAATTGGAATGCTGAAGACTAAGACTGAAATCCATGCTCACTCTCCAGCATATTAGGCAGTTCTTGCCTTGTCTTCTGCTTGTTGTGACTCCCTCTGCAAGAACATTATTTTCCTATTTCACTGTTTAGAGAGTACTTGGATACCTAAAACAAAACCATCGTTCCAGACCTGGTTTTAGAGATCTCAATGTTAAGCATTGCAATGAATGCTTGTAATAAATTTTGAAATTATTTATCACTTTCCCTCTTAGAAACATTTTATTTATGGCCTCTGGGAATCCTGATAGCAAATTACTTTTTTTATATTGTGTTAAGTGGGGATTAGGGCAATTTGTTTGGCATCATTTATAATTTTTGTACCTAGACTCACTCCCTAGAATTTTAATTATTGCACTGAAAATGTTTCCTCAGAAGTCTACTGCTCTTACTTTTCCAAAATATGAATCCCTTATTTGTAACCAAAATTATAAGGACATTAAACCTCACTGAAAATTTGTATCTAAAAAAACCTCAATCAATAATTTTGCAAGTACTTGTAAGCAGCAGTGCTTGATATTTGAATTTGTCTCAGATATTGCGAATTGTTAGGTTGAGTGTTCTTTCATTATCCAGAAGTATACAAATAAAAGGAAACTAAAAGGTTATCAGTGTAAAAATTCATGTTGTAGAAAAACAACTGAGCTCAAAGAGTAATGTCATTTTTCTTGTATAACTCCTCAGCCTCAACTAAGAATCACAAGCAGCTTTATGACTTCCAAACATGAGGGAAAAAAATGCGCCATTTAAAATCCTGTTAAGCTTAATAAAAAAGGTGTGGTGCCTGTTGCCAGCTCCAGTGTTTTGCCTTGCCGTTTTTATTCACTACTAGAAACTGTTTGTTTTGTCAGAAATAGCTTTGGAAAGCCAGTGTAGTAAACAGCCATTTTACATAAGCCTTTCTCCTTGGCCTATTGACTTCTGTGTCTGCTCTTTATGAGCAGCCTTTTCATTACAAAAGTTCCAGGAACTCTACTGGCTTAACAAAAGAAACTCCAGTAAGAAAAATACCATGAATATTTTGCCCTATTTATAACCATTGTTCTCCACTCTGAAAAGTTGCAGATAGGTTACCTGAAGGGGTTTTGGTGGTTGATTTTGTTTTAATTTGGTATTGGGTTTTGAACTTAGCTGAGTAAGAAGTGCACAAAACCATTGTTTTCCTAGCAGCTCTGACTAGTCTCACTTCTTGCAATGAATTAAAATACCACCTGAGCAGTTTCCATCTAGAATGGAATACTGCAGTGGGAATAATCACCTGCCATTAATATTGTTCTGATTTCAACATCATGGATTTGCATTCAGAGAATATGTTTATTTCAAAAAACAGAGAGTGCCATTTATTCATTTTGTTACAAAATCGTGCTCTAGAAAACAAACGTAGTGCTGAAGTCTCTCAATGCTACAATAACAATAAAAGCCTGGAATGTTGCAGATTTTTTTGAGCTGTTATAGGTGGTTGACATGAAAGTATTACCTGTATTCAGGCTCATCACAGGTAAAGTGTATTGGCCGAGGAATTCGTTGTTAGACAGAGAAATCTCATCCTGCACACAGAAGCGTATCATTGCCAGTTCTGGAACTTGGATGTTAAAAGAGAAAGTTTCATTCCATTTAGGGCTCAGAGCTAATTAAAGGAGAAAAGACACAGGATTAAAATATGATTTCTTTTTTTCCTACTCAATAACTGAGCTGCTATCACTAGTCTGAACTGGTAAAGAGTTTCTTTTACCCTAGGTGTCTGTGCCCATTTAAATAAATAACTAAACTCCCACTGACTGTAGTGAGGCAAAAGTCTAAGATAAGATAGTTGGTGTCATCCCTTAAAAGAGAGAAAAATGGGACAAGGATAGTCAGGTTAAGAACTTCTTCTCAGCTTAAATTTTCCTATAGCCATACCAGTTTCATGCTTTTGCCAAAGTTTCTCCTTTCACAGTTTTGGAAATGAATAAATTCAGGTAGTAAAACGTTCACTTGACTAGAAATACAAAAAGAGAATGTGGAACAGGAAGGGTTTGCCTTGTCTTTAGCAATGTTCATACAGGGAAAAGAAATTCAGGGGCTGATTTAAAACAGCAGCTATCTATGAAAAGGAAAAAGGAAGCATAGAAGACAGGCACAGACAAAATGAGATCACAGAAAGCTTGTAGTCTGAGACATCAAGAAGATCTGTATTATAAAGATAAGGGAATGCTCAAAGACAGCTACAAAGAGTACACACTTCACCTGTCAAGCAATTAAGGGATTACTCCTACCAGAGACTTCAAATGAGACAAGTGATGAAGTTACAGCAATTTCTTAAGAAAACCTCGTGTACTAGTTAAGGCTGGGATAGGGTTAACTTTCTTCATGTCAACCCCTATGGTGCTGCATTTTGGATTTTTGACTCAAACAGCACTGATTACACCCCAGTGTTTGAGCTATTGTTGAACAGGGCTTCCACAGTGTCGAGATTTCTGTCTTTCTCACTGCAGAGCAGCCTCCCCATCCCAGTGAGGGGACTGGGGGTACCCAGGAAGTTGGGAGGAGGCACAAGTGGTACAGCTGACCCCAGCTGGCCAAAGGGATGTTCCTTAGCAATGGTGTCATGCTCACAGCTGGGGGGAAGGGAGAAGGGAGGGCATTCAGAATTGCAGTGTCTGTCTTCCCAAGTAACCTCAGAGCTCCAAAATGAAGCCTTGTTTCCCTGGGAATGGCTCTACACCTGCCTGCCCATGGGAAGTGGTGAATGAATTCCTTATTTTGCTTTGCTTGTGTGGGCAGCTTTTGCTTTATCTATCAAACTGTCTTCTTCTCAACCTGAGGGTTTTCTCATTTTGGCCTTTCCAGCTCTCTTCCCATCCAACTAGGGGAGAACAAGCAAGCAGCTCTGTGGAGCTCAGCTGCTGTCCAGGATGAGCCCACAGCAGTGTGCAAAAAAAAATTCCACCTTCCTTTAGAAAGGGGGAGTGCTCCCAGCTGTGTGTTTGTGCTTCCTTAATCTACCAGTGTAGAAAAATGGCACACAGCATGAACTTCTACTACAGATTTTGTGCCAGGAAATCCTAGTCTAGAGAGAAATAATTGCATTTTCTATAACTCCTTGGGATGCAAAGTTGGTGTTTCCTTATAAAATGTTGTTGTGCTTTGTTCACAGCCTAGAGAAGCAGACTGATGCTCACCATTGCTTTTTACAACACTAGATTTCTTTCTTGTTTGGTCCTCTGGCACACCGTAGATTTCTATCTGCACCATGGGGTCAGCTTTGTTGGTCCTTGACATGCTGCTGGGTGGTAACTGATGGCCACTGATCAGCTGGAAAATTAAAGTTGTATAGAAATAACTGTAGGAATGAACTAATTCACCAGAGCCATATAGTAGCCATAATAGAAATAGCTTTCAAAAGAAATTACTTTAAGTATATGCCAGTCATTAACTGGTGCAATAAACACAATGGAATCAAGAATATGGTGCTACCCATCTAATTTATTTTTTTTATATATAATTTTTTAGAAATATTGTGGTTTAGGAACATTTTTTAACTACATCAGATTGCTCTGAGCCCAGTCCAAATTGACCTTGAATGGTTAGAGGGATGGGATACATATAACCTCTCTGGGCTGCCTGTGCCAGTGTTTCACCACCCTCTTTATAAATGAATAAATAAATAGATAAATAAATAACTTAAATCATATTTTAAACAATAATTTTCAGGTTTTTTTATTCAATAGCTATACATAAAAATTATATTTTGTTACTGTACAAAATAATCATATTGGAATCAGCCTACAGTGATTTTTACATTTTCTGCTATCGAGCTCATGAATTCCAATCTGTGTGGAGTGGATCAGCATCAAGACCCACCGTGACATCAGCATTGTGCTACAGGGTATGTAGCAGACTGCCTCACCTGTGCCTCATCTCTTGCACAGTATTCCTTAGTATTTGACAAAAACTCTTCATTCAGTGGGCTTCCTGATGTGTTTTGACCAAAATTTCCAAAACCAGGAAATTTTGTCTCAGACTGTCCTGTAATCTGGCACCCAGACTAAGACAGGATTTATGAAAATCACAATTTTGTCTGCTTTTTATCTATATTTCAGGGTAGCTAGGAGAGAGTAAATATCTGTGCAGTAATCAGCCTTTTAAGGATCAGCATATAACATGTATTGAGAGAGATATACAAGCCTGAAAGTGCAGGTGAAACATATGACTCCTGATCCCGGTCTCAGGCCTAAGCATCATAAGAGATTCTTATTCCCCTGTCAACCACCCCAAAAATCAAAACCCACAAATCCCACGTTTTGCTTTGGTATTTTCCAGTGCTTGTAGCACCTTGCCCCAAGAGAAGTTCTAGCCTGAAATACTGAAAAGCAGTGGCTTGGCAAACACTGATGCTCTTTCTTCCTAAGGAATAGCTGCTGCCTTCACCAGGAATCTTTGCAATCACTGATGGGCTGCCCACTAAGGACATGGGAGAATCCTTGCCATGTCCTGAGTGCCATTGCCAAGGCCTGCATGACCCACTGCTAGACCTAGTCTAAGCTTCCCCTAGCACGGGAAAAGAGTGAGTTCTTTTAAGCACACCGTGACCCAAATCCATAAATCAAATCAATTTTTGAGATCCAAGGTGAAGCAGACATACAGAGTGATGTAAAAATTTGGGAAGCACCTTGGTCATCCCTATTTCTGCTTCAAAGGCTCTATGCCTCTTGATGGGAATTGTGGCACATTGGGTTAAGGATAAGGAATTCAGTAAAATCAGGCCCTATGTGATTTTTCTATTATTCATTCATTCATTCATTCATTCATTCTGAGAGATCTGCCCCTTAGATGTTTTCTATCTTTGCTTTCTGTTGTCATTTCTGCATTCATCTGGTTAGTAACTTTTTCAGCAGAAGCTGCTTTTCCTTTGACTCCTGCTCCAAATTCCTTTTGTCTTCAACCACAATTTCCTGGTTTTTGCTGCTGACTATGAATGGGGCTCTCTGTGCTCTTCATTCCCTCAGCCAGTGGGATGCCATTGCCTCTCTGCAGCCTGCACTACCCAGCCTGAAGTCTCAGTCTAAAGTCCTCAATCTTAAACACAGCCTTTCTCTTCTCCAGCTCCTTCCAAACTCAGACACTTCCTCTGCATTGACAATGATTTTGTCTGACTCCTGCATTACAATTCAGGGTTTCTCCTCATCCTAATTCCAGCTTCATACAAATTAGGGCTAAAATAAGTGATGTATTTGCCTAGTTGCCTGAAATCATCTAGCAATGTCTATTCACAATTGGTATGCTCACTGTCAGGACACTAAAATGTTCTTGATTAGGTGTGTGCATTATGTAAGTATTTTATAATTGTCACTAACTATTGTTTTATCTCTGCTATTTATTACTCTGAAAGAAACAAAATAGCAATTACACACTAATTATATGCTAATTAAATATCATTTATGCAAGTGGTATTCTGTGTAATCAGAAATATAACTTTTTCATTGGGAAAAGGGACTTTTCTAATTAGTGAACAATTACAACAAATCTACTTGACCTCAAAATAAAGGCCTTATCTAATAATTTATTAGTAAATGGCATGCATTTCAAGTATTTTTGGGAAGTAAATCACATTAGAATTTGGGAGAAGTAGAAATAATTCAGACTTATTAATTCATCCCTCCTTTCACACTTATTTATACCATTTAAGGATTACAAATAGTCTTTTATATATGCATAGAAAGATAATGAGACTTAAAAGAAGCATAAAGCTTCCTATCTTATCTTTAAATAGTACACGTGGTATTATTGATAGTGAAAGAAATAACACCCAAAGTGCACATTTGATTTCTGTGTTTTCAGTTCAGCTTCCACATGCACAATTGTCTGGCCCCTTTGCCAGCTACATTATTTATATTTCTTTGTACAGCATCATGAAAAGCCATGTATTTTTACAGATTTTTGGAGGCTCTGAACCCCTACATATTTTTAGCAAGCATAAGTGAAATAAAGATGGGAAAGCACCCAAGCAGCAGTTGATACTCTGTGAGAGTTTTACCATCTTGTTGAAAGCATTAGTTCCCAACAAACAGGAATAGGAATAAAATGGGAAAAAAATAGATAATAATTTCATCTCAACTACATAAAATTTGCTTTCCCATTTTCATGGAACAAAACAACACTTCAGTCATCTTACCCTTATTGACAGAGACATTGGTTTGCTGTATCCTCCCACATTTCGGGGTGTAAATGTGGTATTGCGATCCCTCAAGAATACAGGTTTCAGCACATAGCCACAACCACCATTGTCCAGGAATTTTCCATCTTGCAATTCCATTTGTGTTCCCAGTGTTTGGAAGTTTAAGGCCACTGTAAAATTATATCAGTATTGATTTTAGTGAATTAGGTTTGATAGCATTTTATAAAACAAATGTTAAAAAAAAATTCAAATGAGCTTAAGATATCTACATCTCTCAATTCATATGTAGGATCCTGTTGTTTCCCTTAAATTAAGTGATACTCAGTAATTAATTATTTGTGCACAAAAACAGTGCACTGTTTAGAACTGCACCCTGTTTTAAGAACTAATCTATAGATCTTTTTTACATTGCTATATCTCTTTTCCCTTTTCTTTCTAAATTAGACCTTGGAGAATATGAAATAAAAGATCCTTCTCTCTGTAAGAACTGAATTCACATCCTAGTTTCTCTACAACAGCAAGACCCTGCATTCCAAACTGCTATCAAAGGTCTGGTGCAGAAGTCAAAACCACAGGATTGTATCTTACCTTAGTTATGGTGCAGAATTCATCACAAAAACATCTCACCCAGAAGATTAAGAAGCTTTAGTTTAGTTAGAATACTCAGTGAAAATACATATAAATTTATAGAACTAGAAGCAATTTTAAAAGTGTTCTTAAATTTATGTGAGCGCACACTCTCTTGGAGCTTAATCCTCAAGTACTGGTGATTATTGTAAGAATACACCTGACAGATTTTTTCCTTTCCTTGGCAGTTCAAAACATTTTCAGCTTGCTGCAGCACCAATAATAAAATATCACACTTCTCATCAACAGGATATTGTAATTCATGAGATAAAGCCACCATTGAAATAGACCTGTTTAATGGAATTTTCCCCTATTCCAGTGCATTGGAGCTTCTTGTCACATTCAAAATAGAAAATACAGAAGTCAAATCGGCAATGAATTATGACATTATGAACCCATGACATGTGTTAAACAGAGAATGATAAGAAGTCATTTACTTAAAAGGATGGTTTGGTAGGAATGAAAAAGGAAGATTTTAAGCAGTTCAAGTGACTCAAAATAATTCATAAAGAGGACCTTATTACATTTTCCTGGGAGATAATATGAATGTATTGAATGAACACTTGACATAATGCAAAAATCCTTATTGCAAGTAGAAAACACAAAAAATTGTTTTCACTGCAAAAATTTTTCGTTCCTTCACTGCTTTGATGATCATTTTAAAACGTTCTGTAGCAAACAACACAAATAGGAATGAAGCAGCTGGTACAATGGACCTGATATTTATGATATGATATATAAACACAAGTTTTTGGTGGGGTTACTTCTGAAGAGCTCTGATTCTGTAGTCTCAAAACCAATTAATGGGTGGAATACATGAAGTGCTCCCAGAGTGCATCATCTGTTTAATCTGAAAGGAATCCCATCTGTGCTAGCTAAAATTGCTCTGCATCATGAACCAACATGCAGCAAGTAGGAATAACTGGAAACCTTGTCTAGAAAAACCCCAAAAAAACAAAAAAAGCCTCCAAAACAAAACTATACAAAACACTTGATCTGTTAATGTAGATAAAGACACGATTTTATGTTAATATACACAGGAATTTTGTTTTACCTTTAACAACAGAAATCAAACTTCAGAGTGTTCATATTGCCCATTGCACACCATTGCCTTTTTTAAACAGGGCAGGTATTTTCTTGGTATGGTTTTGGCAGCAGTTCAAAATTTTCTTTTTATGACTCAACACATCATCCAGAAACAGCCCCAAATGTGGTGCTATATGATGCTTGTATATTTTAATGCACTGAATCGAGCTGTGCAGAGGATGCTACAGGAGCTGCAACCCTGTGGCCCCTGGAAGTCTGAACTACAGATAACCCAGGATCTCTCAGTCCTCAGGTGAGTCCTAGACCACACTTTCAGAATACGTGGGTTTAAAAGTGCAACTGAAATTAGGCACATCGAACAGTCAGCTTCAAATAGCAGCTTCCACATGATGAACCAAATTACATGATTGCACATAATGAGACTATTGCTAAATTTACCAAGTTTTATAGGCAACTAAGCAGGAAAATCTGATGTAACAACAGCAACAAGCAAACGAGAATACTTTATATTTTATCACATTAGGAAAATTACTTTTGCAACACAAGTGAAGGGCAATGTTATTATGGGTTCATATCTCCAAACATCAGCACTGTGTTTTCACTTAATTTAATTTGACCTTAAGAACAAGTTAAAAAACGCATGGAACAGTAGTTTTAATTTACTTACTGGTTTCTTTGTATTGCAAGTTTTAAGGTGATTAAGCAAATGTGAGATTTTGTGTCATATTCTCTGAGATGCAAACCTCTACTAAAACTGTTTACAGGGCTCATAGCTGCTTGGAGCCTCCCAGGGCACTACTTTATGGTGCATTGATGTACAATTTTTCTTTTTAATCAGGTGCAGTATAGCCCTAACACTTCTTGAGAAATGGCAAGGATCATAAACTAAAAGCTATGCCCAGCAGCTTGGGCTGAGCAATATCTTTCTGCAAACAATCCTGAACTTCTACCCAGTGTTTCATTTCAGCTTTGGTGAATTCAAGAGCAGAACTGTTCAATAATATTCTTTGTACTTTTGTTTTATGAAACAGTATAAATTTAATGCATGTATGATGAGAGATTTTAAACTGACAGTTTATTTTGGAAAGAAACCCAAATGAGTTTGCAATGAAACCATCTGAGCAATACATAATCTTAATGTATGTTTTTCATGGGGAAGTAAAGGCATCTGAAGTTTAACACTGTGTACATTAAATTTTGTCCTCAGTCTTTTCATTAAGCACCAGAAGAATTTTAATATTGACATCAAAATCAAAGCAGCACAGCAAAACATGGGCTTGGGGAACAACCTAAGCAAAGCAATTCTTCACTGTGATTCCTGCACTTAAAACAGATTTAACTATTCCTAGAACCATGAGTCTAAATCCCCTTCAGATCAGAGTACTGAATACTCAAATCATCTTGCAAAGTACCAAAGCTGCCATGGCAGTCCCAGTAAGCCCCAGATGTAAATAACTTCATATGGCAAATTGAAGTTAGGAAATAGACTGGCTCCAAAAAGGTGAGCCGATCCACAATACACAGAAGAATACTATTTTTGACCCCAAACCTCTGTATCACAAGCAGTTAACTGAAGTCAGTTCCACCACTAATTGCAGAACTAAAGATACTATAAATATTCCTATACAGCACCTTCTATAGGTGCCACCATTCAAGACATAATTGACTTATGGACTAAAAGCAAAAGCTTTTTAAAACCAAAATGAGAATTGTGACTGTGATTTGAAGGCATTGAGGAAAACTGCACATTTTTGATCCTGCCTCTCATTAATATTCCCAGTGGGACTTTTAAATTGTAATTTTTTATTTTTTCTTCTTTGCTTCCTGGTTCTATTAGCTATATCACAACCATAAGTTTTAATGCATTTTCCCATTTAAATGGGAAGATTTTAGAATAGATAAGGACACATTTGTCACCATTTTTTCTTGAAATGAGTTACTTAATTGCATTTTATGCCATTTAAAAATGCATTTCAAAATGTATCAATTTTATGCCCTTTCAAAAAATCTCATCTTCAAAAAGCACTCACAGTGCCAATGTTCCTATCTCCATGGTTTACCTCACCCATTTGAATCTAAAGAGATATAATAGATCACACTTCTATCAGCCTTCTTGTCTTGCTCTCAGCTCTTTCCAATTGTCTGTGCTCTTAAAGTGGGCCACTCACAATGAATGCAACGAAAATCTATGCCTCAGATATCCCAAATCTGAGCTGAATTCCACACAGCCTGGGAAATGCTATTGCAAACAGGACCATATCCTAATGCTCTGGAATGTTGCCATTGGTTATGAGATGATCAGTGGGACTGGATTTGAAGCCACTGCTTTCATTCCACATCAGCTCTCCAAGCTGGGCACAGGCTGTCTAGGCTTTCTTCTCACATGCAGGTCACAGCTGCACTCAATCCATCACTGCCCAAATTTGCAGAAATATTTCAGAAGTCCAGGAAAGATGGAGTGAGACTATTTACAAGGGCATAACAGGACAGGGGGGAAGAGCTTCAAAGTGAAAGGAGAATAAACCTGTGAATAGGTGAGACCCTACACAAACTTTATGAGCAAGGACTTTGGTCTACTAGACCAAAAATAAAGAAAAAAACCTCTTTTTTTTCTACCAGAAAAAAAAAAATAAAATACATAATGATTGATTTCCTTACAACACAGAGCAAGATTCTAAGGACAATATACATTTCAGCATAAAAAGTATCACCTCTTTTCCTGGCAAAAAAAAAAAAAAATCAATAAAATTGTATTTTTTCTCTTCCCTAACAGACTCCAAATTGTGTTAATCTTAATGATAATTTTTGGCTTTAGTTTTCACCTACACATTTTGAAATGGTTGTTTTCATTCTACAGAAGCTTGATTTATTAATGGCTTACAACGTGAGGGATTCTGCCATAGGAAGAGGAACTGCTCCTCTGAGAGCTGAATAAATGCATAACTGCATGACATAACATCCTTAAAATGTGCAGTCAGTCTTTTTTGTATGGTCTTTGGGTCAGTTTAATACTGTGGCTCTAAAGACACTGTCATTAGAAATGTGAAGAATTCAGTCACACAGTTCTTAACTGCTGACGTTGCTCCTACTTCATTACAAGTAGTTCTACTGGAAAAGAGATGTCAGGTGATTAAGAGTCCTCCATTGTCCAAGTATATCTGCAAAGGGTTTAAGTAGAGATCCTCTCTTGTGAGATTCTCATGGGAAAAGTACCTAAAGCATTTCTGATAAATTATCAGATCCAAAAATCTAAATTGATTTTTGCTGTCTAATTAATGTGTCAGTCTGAAAGTCACACTTCAGTGTAAGTCTGAGTATTTTTGGTTGTCATTTCACCAATTTTACACCTGAAACGTTTCCAAAATAATTTTTAAAATTTACTTAACTTGTGATTCTTGGCAGAAAAGTGAATATTATCAGCTTCCCTGTCCTGTTTTAGTCTGGAGTCACTGACAGGTTTTAGAACAAGATCAGCAAGGACTTCAGAAACAATTGCTTTCCTGCAATTTTTTTCCCATCTTCCTTTAAAATTTATTAGACTTCACATAAATTATTTACTATTCTATTGGTTGTCTGCAGTGAAGACAGCTGGAAAAACTGATAAAATGGAATTTCAATGTTTCTTTGCTTTAAAGTGAAATTCCAGTATCTATGACACACACCAAAAACTGCCTAAAAAGAAGCAGGCTACAGAATAGCCCAAGACCTTTTTCATAAACCTGGCAGTAGAAGCATTTCTGCAGAAGGGACATAAAACCTTCATTCAAAACCACTCCCAGCATTTGGAGCCATTCCAAAGGAAAGCTGAGTGCATTTGGAGAGCTTCATACGTTGAATCATATTATCCCACCTATCTTGTGGGTGTCTACACCTGAATCAGCTGTACCACTTCACTCTTTGTGAAGACCAAATCAATGAAATTCAAGGGAAAACATTACAAAAAAAAAAAAAATTAGTCCTCTAGGTTTCACTTCCTTAGGAGGCATTTCTGGACTATTAAATCCAGTAGAAGAGAGCAATAATAGAGTTATTGACACAGAACCCAAGCAGGGTCAGATTTGAGTCATTTTGATTTGCACAGGTGAGGCATACCAAGATCAAAATTAGTTGGTTTCTTTGCCCTTGGTTGCTTCAGAGGTTAAAATCAGAACTAGTTAGAGAGCTACTCCTCTTTTCATGCATCATTGACAATCATTTTTTACCATATTTTGTCATATTATTGCACAGAAGATTGAACCACAAAACAGATGTGACAAAATTGCCAAGCTGCATTTCAGTGTCACAGTCCAAAATAAAACCTACAGGAAGAAAAAAACCCATCAGGAAGAAAAAAACCCATCATACAACTTTCACAGCAGCATATAAATTTATGCACACCCCAAAAAGCACATATGAGATATTCTGAAATAAAATTCTGTACCTACAACACCATGGTTTTCTCCTGTAACTTATGGCATGTTTTGGTCATTCCTGCAGAGTGCTTTGGTACATGTAGAACATTTCCAAATGCCACATTCAAAAGGTTATTTAAGTCTTTCTTTTTTTTATTTTCACTGAGGCTTTCTTTCATTTTGGATTTTTGTTGCTTTTTTCAGTCGATATAAAACAACTGATACCAGTTTATTTAAATAAATGTCCTGAATTTTATTTCCCTGCATAAATCTTTTCATTTCATTTTATTTACTAAATAAAAAGGAGACATGGATACACCAAACCAGTTCTTTCCAGTGCCTCACTGCAGTTGTATGCAGGAGGCATACTAATTTTCACAGACTATGAAAAGTGAGGGTTTTTCTCCATGAGACCTCTTTTTTCCCAGAACCTCCTGTTCTTATGAGTCTCAATTTTCAGAGAATGGACAGGGAGTACACAGTGATATCCAAAAGCTATTTTGTGGAAACTCTGTACTTTTTACTGAGTTTTTTAACTTGCCTTCCTCTGGAAATTAGGTTTACACAATTACATGTCTTGTCCTCAGCCCCAAAAAATCTTGAGCCTGTTGGACCATTTCATCCTGCTTTAGCTGAGTGCCAGGCTGCTCCAAGTTAATATGTTCCAAGCAATTTAGAGAAAATTGCTGTCAAGGTACAGAAGAGAGCACTGTTTTGAGTCAATCACTAAGGGAAGTGAAGGAATAACTCAGTTCTCATAATTACAAGATGCAGAGGCCTGGAAGGCAGTGTTATATGTAGGTTTGAACAAAACCTAATATATTTTCTTTGCCCAGCCAGAAAAGTTATGGATGTTAAAGGAACTTAAGCTTGCAGGTATGGGGAGGAGAAGGGAGTTAAGAAGGGGAATAGGTGGCATAGAGAAATCCAAGAGTCCTTTGAAGAGTTTTAGGGAAGCACTTCTGTGCATGGGGTGTAAAGCACAAAGGCAGGGAGACAGGAAGGATGTGTGAATTATACAGACATGGGACAGACATAAAAATCAAAAGTCTGTGTTAAATCAGTGAAAGGACATCAGCAGAAGATTCACTGAGATACCCTCACTTTGGGAGTTGCATTGTGAAGAGCTGCTATATTTCTGCCAAACAGCTATTTAAAGCAGATCAGGGAATTAAGAATAGATCTAACATAGCTTGGAAATAATGTATGTAGAGAATTGTTTTTAATCAGCCTATTCCCATGTGAAAAATAGAGGCGTTTTTAAGTGAAGATGCAAATGAAGTGACCAAGAGGGCAGATCTAACCACTTCCTGCATATTTTTAATTCTTCTAGGAAGGGGCCCAAACCCCCCATGCACCAAAAGTCATATGTTTTGCATGTTAATGTTTAGACTGACTTCTCATTAAGGCACACTCTGAGTAAACAGCCAGTGTAGTAATTTTGAAAGATTTCAGTGCTGTCTGTGATCTAACAAATGGTTATCCTTTGCAGAGATAAGTGTGGAGATTTACAGGCTAGAAAGAAAACTAGTAAATTGCAGACTGGGGGATTAATTCAATTTTAAATTAAGGACCTCTGGTGAGTGCTTTCTCTAAGAATTCATTCTCTAATGAATGAAATTTCATTGTTTTTAATGGCAATGGAAAATGTAGATATCAATGATAGCACATAGGGAGTGCAGCACCCCAGGTAAATAATCCAGACATGGCACTAAGTGTGGATGAACCACAAGGACACAACACAATCAAACCAATTTCACACAGTATGGTGATGAGAAGATACTTGGATAGTCCAGCACAAGTCCAAATCTGTACTGCAAATAAACATTTATGAGGACATAGAAGCAAGTCAAATTTATACTAAATAGTAATTTTTGTACTCCTTGTGTAGTTATGTAAAATAACAGTCAGGATGGAGAAGGTAACTTGTCACAGAAGATATATGAGGAGCTGAGAAAGGAAACAAGTGGAAAAGGAAGCCTGGAACAAGGGTGACATAAGCTCCAGGGCCCTACAAACAGAATGAAATCTGTGCCTGTCCTTGGATGAGTGTGTATTTCAACATAACAAGGTGAATCCACACCTCTCAAAACCAAGAGCCTAGGGCAAAGTGCCCTGCTCACCCCACAGCCTCCCTCAGGTGGCCTTGGCAAAGACTCAAAGACAGAATATATATCTGGGTACAAAAACTATTCTGCTCTACTTTACCTAGGGTTGAAGAAAATTTAGCAGGCAGACATAGAAATATGTTCTGGAACTGAGAATCTTTTAAACTGAAGAATAAACACATGAAGGTAAAATTGTCACTAAAGCCATTAAAAAGGACAAAATGCTTACAGGTGAGAGGTTTTCCAAAGCCTGCTGGGTACAGAAGTCATGCCATGCTTATTTTGAAAAAATTCAAATAAGTAACTTTCAATGAAGAAGCAGAAGTTCCCACTTTTTTGTTGCCCAGGAAACGAATATGTTTTGCACTGGAAATTAAAATTCTACATGTATGTTCATCTGAATAAAGACTGGAGACTCCCAGCAGATCCCAGCTGTCCCTGGATGTTGTGCTGACCAGGAATGTTTGAGTGCTGCCTTGTGTAGCATATCCTAATCTGGGAATTTTTGGCACTACTATCAATTGTTGTGCTCACATCTGCACCTAAGCAAGTCACAGAGTGCCACTGAAAACCCACAGACCCTTCAGAAGAAACTTCCATTGCTGAGTAATGGATGCTTAAAAATGCTGAGTTTGTTATTAGTGATTTTCTTAATATCCAATTCAAAAAGGTAGTTTAAAGAAATTAATAAAATAGAATAAATGGAATATCTGGGATAGGAAACAGCTATTTAACACAAAGTGATATTTACAATTACTAGTGAGAAAAAACTGGTGGGATATGTGGGTTGAAGGAAAATTTTATATAACAAAAAATTAAAATAATGCCACTGGGAGAAAACATGTAACCTACATAAAACCAAAATACTATAGGAAGCAAGAAACTCCTTTATCTGTAAAGCCTAGAATGCAATAGTTTCTGCAAGGATACATACCCATCTGACACCCTACATTCCAGAACTCCTGAGGATTATAATTTGACGACCTCATTCTTGTTCCCTTGGGGTAAATTCTTGTAATAAATCTTGTAGTATGTGAAATAAACTCTTTAGCTGATAAACAGAAGGATAAAATCTTGGTAAGAAAACCTTTGTTATTAAAAAGATCCTATTTGAACAAATAATAAAAATACAGTAATTTGATCCAGCAATTTTTTTACACAATATTATGCCAATTTATTCTAACATCATTTTATTTTGAAAATTATTCATTTGTTCATTTAATAATTAATTTTGAAGCCTTAATATTTTGTGTGTGTTTGAATCTGACAATATTTCTGTATAAAGAAATATATATTCTTTTGTAAGTTCATTATCCAAAAAGCATCCCTTCACTGAAATATTCTGTTTCTTCACCTTTTTGCAGGGTTAGCTTATGATTTCTACACTACAGCCTACTGTATTCTCATGGGAAACTGAGACACAGGAAACTGCACAAAAGTTTCCCCCTTCTATAATAGCTCAAAATGAAAAAAAAAGAAAAAAAATCATCTTTAGATGATCTTGGCTTGTTTGTTGTTTGGAGGTTTAAATAAAATGGCTAAATAATATTAAGACTGGGGAAGAGCACATTTTTAAAAGCCACTGAAATTCTTGTTATATAAGCCTCAGAAGATAACTATCATGTGCATTGTTTTTCCTTGTGCTGGCAGTGTTCCCTCCTTTCTCATATGTAAGCATTGACTGCAGGGATGTGGGAAACCTCAGATGACTTCTATCTACACGATTCCTTTTTAGTGATTAAACAAAAATCTACATTTCCAGGGTCATCTCTCTGATCTCCATTTTCCTCTCACCTCATTTTTTGTTTGTTTAGGGGTTTTGTTTGGTTGAGTTTGGTTTGCTTTGTTGTTTGGGGGTGGGTTTATTGAGGGGGAGGAGAGGTTCTAGAACTACTTTTATATCCCCTAGAGTGCTGGAGGAACCAGAGAGAGGATTCTGTGGCTGGAAAATCCTACTTTGTGATGTTGTTCAGCATCATTCACCTCGCCAGCTGTTGCCCTGAAAACTAAAACCTTCTGATAATGTTTTCATAGTTTTAGTTACTTTTCCATGAAAGTTCTATAAACATAAGTTGTTTATCACATTCCTTCTAAGAAATGTCTTTTGATGGACTTTTCTCATCACCAGTGTGCTTGGGAAGGTGTAATTTAATTATCCAATCCCTGGCCATTGTCAAGAACCTATAAATACTGGGGTCAGAAAATAAAGTCCCTTCTTTCCTGTTCTACCACTGGAAAGTGTTCATGTGAATCATTTTGTGTCCTTTAGCAACAGCCAGCCACTGAATCACCTCCACAAAGTGAGTGGGCATGTGGCAGCCTTCATTGTCATTGTCACTGTCATGCTCGGTGATCTCTGCTTCTAACGCTCCCTCGGGGCTCTCTGCAGGCAGCTGGAGCTCAAACAGCAGAGGCTGCACCAAATGGAGCTGCTCCAGCCCAGAATGGTTTGGATAATTCAGTTTGGCTGGGATGGAAGGTCTGGTCCAGTGGAGCAAACTGCCTGCTCTGGGGTTTATCCATCCCATTAACGAGGACTCTCTTATCTGCACTTGTCACCAAAGCCAGGAGACTGCCGAGCCAACTCAGCTGAGTTCTCAGCCCAGATAAGGGGGTGGGGAGGGAGGTGGTGAAATTTATTCCATGCTTTTTCAAGTGCTGACTGTAATTCCTAAATTACTTGATGCAGAAAACAATGAATCAAAAGGCTGACATACATTTTGTAGACTGTGTTAATATTTGTTCTTATAAAAATACTCGGAATTAAAGCAAAGTTGAATTTTAGTTTTCCTCACACAGCCAACAGAAATAAAAACAATATTATGCAAAGGACATATCTAAAACAGTGTTATACAAAGAACCAAATAAAATCAGACAGCAGGTGTTTCATAAAATTTTAACCCTTCAGTGCCTAAGCAGTGAACCAATCATAGCACCAATGTAACTTTTAATTGATTAACTCAAAAGAAATTACCTGAAGATCTTAAAAGTTTTCGTGCTGCACTCTCTCCAATTGAATTATTTTCGTAACACTGCTGATGCTGCAGGGAATGCTCAAAGCTCACAAACTTCTGAGATTTGGTGTAAACCACAAGGTCTGACAATGCAAGGGCAATCTTTCCCTTCCTCACCTAAAAATCATCAGATGAATAATAGAATACAAAAGTCACAATGATGAGTATTTCATTATTATTAACATTAATAATCCAGAGAAACAATCATTTTGGATGCATAAAGCATGAAAAAATATGTCACAGTTAATGAATCTAATAAATATGACCTTTAATAGTGAAATTTGATAAACTGAGAGAAAATTTAGGTTATTGTGCCCACGTTTAGCAGAGTAATCATAGGGTGAGTGGAGAGATCCTTCCTAGCAGAATGTTCTTCTCGATAGCTTTACAATTTTCCTGCTCCTAAGAGTGGTTAGCAAATAATATCATTTTTCATGGCTTTTAATGTTGCTCCTTAAAAATATACCTCTAACTTTCTATTCATAAATATGTAAAGTACTAGAAAAGACCAACACAGTAAACTCATCTATAAAATGTAGAATAACAGGAAAATATTACATTGTGCCAAGTAAATTAATCAAAGGCATATTCCTCTAAGGATTGCTCTGAAGTTAGGAAAACTCTTTTCTTCTTGATTAAGGTTGAAAGTTCCCTCATCAAAATCTTAATTTAGTCTTGCCCAATTACCAAAACAAGCCAAAGTGACTGAAATTTTACCAGGATCTTCTCTCTTACAGAGAAGCACTGTGTGACCACTTCATTTTCCTCAGCATAACTTCTGAGCTAATTGGGGGCAGTAGCCAGCAGAGAGCTGCTGATGCTAATCATGTTTACATTCCATCAAAGCTTTTGAAGGCAAATTCTCATCCCACAAAATAATAGAGATTGCCTGCTCATGGCTCTGAAACTATGCAAAGTTCAAGTGCATTAATTATTCTGGGGCTATGTCCCATGAGGACAACAGGAGTCTACTGCCATGGAAATCCTGAAAAATACAACTCTGGAAGCAGGCAAAGCCAGCAGCATCGCTGGGGTATCTTGGCTGTGGATTCAAATGCTCTCCCACCCTCCCATAAAGCAATACAGTGGGACATCAAGGCAAATATTCCAACAGAGTGGGACCCTGGAAACCACTTTCTCTTCTGCCTGTGAAACATGAGCAGATCCTTTTTGTTGCTGCTGTTTAAGGGTATGTGGAATTCATTCTCGTTTGTAACATGGTCCTACAAATATTCTTGAACCTATTGTCTAGAGAGCTGATCCTTCCTGGGCAGAGTCCATCCTTCCTCAGAATTTTTCCTTACTATTTCTCCATGTCAGTTGGAATGAGAAAGAAGCAAAAAACTTTCAAACTACCAAATCATATAAAAAAAAAGAGACACTGCTTCTCAGTGAGAGTGCTGGGCTCTGAGGAGCAATGCTGGTTTAGCCACATTCAGGCAATCAGAGCATGATGTGCAAGAGTGACTGGACAGGTGCTGCCTGACATCTTAAAAAAGCTGAACCAGGCAGTTTCAACCTTGATGAAGCAACAGATTTTCTGTGGAAGAGAATCATATTTGGTTAAAAAAATAAGTTCAATTTGACTTTCAAACACCCAATTTTTACACTTTTTTCAGAAATAGTACTTAATGTTATGTCTCTGCATGATAAATCTCAAAACACCTCTTCAACTCCAGGTACTGAAAAATGTTTCAGCACAAGGAATGTGCACCTAATTTAATGCAAAAAAATCCAGAACACAAGAAAATAGGAGACTTTATCTATCTCAAAAATAGACTGGAAGACCTGGGGAAGAAATAGTTAGCTCTGTTGTCATGAGGTACTGCTGTAAGTGTTCTCTATACATAGATCCAGGAGAGCCATGGCACCACAAAACACATCTTAAATCTACTGTGGGACTGAGCACCTGGGACAAGCACAAGTTTTGAAAGAGGAAAATGTTGAAGTTCAAGATGGGAGCACAGGAAGGGGTTGCTTTTTAGTTGGATACTAAAATGTGGTCCAGTCTGACTTTTCTTATAAGAATAGGAAAACTCTGAAACCTTGAGCTAAAAAATGTAATTTCCAAATGCACTGATCTTAGTAATTTTAAAGTTTTCTCTTTAAATTTTAAATTAAATTTAAAATATAAATTATTTTAAAATAACTTTTTATAACAACTTTTCAATTTAGTCTCTATTTTAAGATAATAGAGTTTCTTTAAAAAAAAAAATAAATCTGTGTGTTCTCTATATTCAATTGCAGCAAAAGTTACCTTTGTTTTTTTTTGAGGTGGGGGTGAAGGTCTATGATCTCTTCTTCTTTTGGTGGGACTCCTTGATGGCTGAAGAGGAAACATGTCATCTATGTCTTCATCCTCAGACTCAGATTCAGAGTCACTCAGTTCCTCTACCTCACCACCATATTCATCATCCATCCTGAGCAGACTTTCCTCAATTGTTCCAACTTTTTTATTTTTTATCAGAACTTTGAATTTTAATGCCTATAGAAAAGAGGATTTAACAATAGTAACTAGAATTACGTAGGTTTTCATCTCTTGCTTTTATTTAACCAATCTTCAAAGCTGTTTATTAAATATAATGACGTGAGATTGCAAAATGAATTAAAATAGATGAGTGAGGCAGAAGCCAAAGCCAAATAAACCAAACAGAATCTGGGGATCAATGTACACAACAGAATGAGCCTATCTAACAGCATGACAGGAAAAAAGGCTCTCTGCCACAGGTACCCAGGCTGAAACTATGAAAACATAAAAGTGGGAAGTTAAGTAAGAGCCAAAAGTGATAGCCAGGCAAGACATAGAAGGTATATTTTTTTACTTATTTTTTTACTTATATTTTATGCCTAAATGTACTTATATGTGTATATACACACTTAAAGACGTGTCTGCTATTAATTTGGAATGTTTTCATCTATCACTAAGCCTGCAGGAAATTTGTTATTTGATTAATGCCTTTGTGCATATCTCTCTGGTGTACCAAATAAAAACTTTTGTTTATAACTTGTGTTATTTTACAGTAGAACCTTATGTTGGTCCTACCTGGCCAGGGAAATAAAAGTTTGGTGATTTTGCCTAAGCAGTTTCTCTATTTTTAAATGGAGGTGTATCAACCTCCATAATATATAATGTAAGGGGAGGAAAAAATCATTGAATTATATTGATTCTAACAGCATGGCTTTCATCTATGCAACAGAATCCTATGAGTATATATTTCACTTCAATTTACAAAACTATATTAATAGTAAAGCTGCTATTATGTAGCAGCACATCTGTACACAAGAGCTGTCAGTGAGTGAAAGGACTTAATGTCACTCTTGAATAAAGTGATCCACAAAAATGTTCTTTGAATTTCTTATGTTCTAGTGAAAAGGAAGATTACACAACTGGGAGTGTGGCAGGAACAGGGAACAAAAAAATTCACAATAAATGAAAGATAACTGAAATGCTGTGTTTTAAGGTATCCACAAAGTAAATATGAAACGTATGGATAACAGAAATATATAAGCCCAAAGTTTTATAATAGAAACCAGAGCCATAGGCAAAGATAGAGACATTCCATTTATTTCCAGTGCAAGCTCCATTGCTCGTAATCCCCCTATCGCTTCAGATCTCGTGTTGGTAGTTTGCCAGGGTGCCAGTGGAATGAGACAGCCTATGCCCAATATCTATCAATGCCATGCTGCTGGAAGGTTTGATTAGTCTCTCTGCACTGGTGACTCAGGATAAGGATGCCCTTTAACATTGCCTTCATTCCTTATTAATGCACTCTTTTTTTTTTATTTTTCTATGATATTTTTAGAAGAGTTTTAATATGATTAATGCTACTCATGTTTTTTAAGAGTTCTGAATTTTCCTTTGCTTGTTTCACATTTCCCAGTATCTAAAAGCAATTCCATCCACTTTTGATCTTGTATTTTGTTATTCACAGAAAGACTTAATTCTACAAATAAAAAAAAAATAAAAAAAGACCCGGTATACAAGGGAAGAAAAAACTTTCTATGGTTACATTACTGCCTCCTATCTACAAACATAACTTTAAGTAAAAAAAAGACAATAGTGTTTGTGTGTGTAATGATATAAAAATGGGTCATGATGTCAGTCAGTCTCTAAAATTCTGTTTACGAGCTGTTAGCAAAAACATAAACATCCCGAGGTAGGAGAAGTTTTTTAAGGTTTTTTTTGCTTTGTTTTCTACAAAGATAACATTCTAAAATCATGGCTCTTTTTAGAAACAGTTACAAAAATACTCCAGTGAATTTGCCTTTTTTTGGCCAGAAGCAAATGACAATAATAGTTACCCCAAAGCACTGAAAGTGAAACACAGAGTGAAAAAATGACATAGGTTTTTGTCTAAACTTCACACATCTTCAAAAAAACTTATAACAAATGTATGGTTACAAATTCAGTGACTGTGTGAAATCTGAGTTCTTTAATTGGTAATCAGCACTGCTAAACATGTGACACCTTTTTCTCTACAGGTCTGTCCAGGTCTTCTAAGAGAGCTGAAAAGCCTTTTAATGAGCTGAAAGTCTGAGCGTTCACTATAACTTCTCCTTTCTAGTTTTATTATGTAAGGCAAAATATGTTAAAAATACATTTGCTGTTTACTTCTATAAAAACTGCAAGTATACTAAAAAATTCAAATATGTAAAACATCATAGGACCTCCCTAGAGCATAGCGGGACTTCAAGACTGGCATAAGCAAAAACCTCGAAGTGCAATCAACTGGAACAAATATTTACATAATTAAATGAACAAAACATTTTTCTTGTACATTCTGGTTAATGGGATGTATAACACAAATCAGCTGAAGTAATGCCAAGTTTCCAAGATAAAAATCACAAGCACTTTGGATCGGGCAAACCCACCTATTGATGACTGCAATTAATGTGAAAATTCAGTGCCCAGAAATGTAAGGAACAAACCCTGGATTTGAGACATAAGTATTAAAGACAGAATAGCTTCTCCTGTTTAAATTGAGCTGCTTGTTCTCCCTTCTTCTCTCCTGACCAGCTGTAGGTGCTCAGTTAGAGGAATATCAAGCCCTGAAAATCTTGCTAAGTAACAAAGTTAAAATCTCTTCTGTTTTACATAATATTCTATTTCAAGAATTGTACTGCTGTCTTAAATACTGATATAGGGTAAAGATACAACACCTCCTGTGAAGTCTGACACAGGGAAAGGTTTTGAGACAATGACAAGATTTGTTAAGTACAACTGTTAAAAAAACCCAACACCAGCTATCTTTAACGAATCACACTTGGTGAAGTGTGAATGGATGTCTTTGTGGCAGCCTTATAAATCACAGTTATCATCTACAGATACTTTATATCAATACTGTATACTTATTATACAGATATTTTAAATCAATACCACCAGCAAGGTCTGAGCTCTAGGCAAACAAATATTAATTATATCAGGAGCAGCATTTTAGCTACCTCATAGCAAGTTTTCATACAACACATTTACCCAGTGAGAAGCACCCTACCCTGAAAATTCCCCTTCTGTGTTGTGCTCTGTAGTAGACTTCAGGTAAGTCTGCTTACCTTAAGTAAGTCTACTCAAGGATAAATAGCTATGCTATAGCTGAAATTATATTCTACATGGGCAACTAAATCTCTGGATGCATTGGAAATAAGTCCAGATGATTGCAGAGAAAGATGGTTACAGGTTGGCTCAGAGTCTTCATTGCACAGATTCCTTACCAAAGCTCAATGATCCAAGAAGATGCCTTGCCAAATGAACCACCTGATTTTTATACACCAAATAAGCCATTGACCCTAGACCTACCTGGGTAATGATATAAAATATGGCAATGTCTTGTTTTTAGTTACCTCCTGAAGTTGCTTTACACTACAGGGAAGCTATTAACAGATAATGACTGTCACATGTTTACCACATTTCTGGGAAAATCATGTTCCCTCAAGAGTGCAATGCCTAAAAATAGTGAAGGAATTAGATGAGTCTTCTGTATGTACTCTCTACAGCCTAGAGATTCCTGAAATTTTATGAGAAACAGTATGGATTTTTTTATTATTATTTTGGAGGTCATCACCAAGACATACCATATTCTCATATTTTTTGTCATATTTTTGTAAAGAATAGACGCCATAGACTGATCAAAAGGCATAAGAGTGACTAGAAACATTTTGACTTGCTAAGAAACAAAAATATTTCTGATGCAAAGACTTGGTCAAGACATTTGCATATGTGAATGTGTCGGTCAAAATAAATAGGAATTAATCTCATAAATGAAGCAACAGAATTAGATGTGCTTAATCTTGAATTTCTCACTGAAAACACTGTGTAGAGAAAGCTCTCCTTTTTATACTGAGCAGATAAAAGTGAAGAAAAGTGTGAAGAATGAGTCGTGGCTTAAGGAGTTAGCTGGTTTTCCCCATAATAGCAGAATTTAAAATATCCATAGCCCATGAAGTTGTACTGGAGGCCTTCTGTTGATTTTTCTCAAGGATATCATTAAACAGATCCTTTTATTTGGACACCACAGGTTTAACAACCATAGGGAAGCCTTGGCAATCCTGGCCAGAAATGTTTCAGAGACACCACAATACAGTAATTGATCTTGCAGCTGTGTGGTAAACATTAAAGAGAACTTCTAAAATCACAGTAGTTGCCACTTCACTTTCAGTTAATCACACATCAATATCTCATTCCAACTTTGTGACAGGAAACCTGCAAATAATAAAAGATTCCTAACTATCTGATATATCTATCCTGTCAGCAGTATAAGGCAGTTCAATGCTCTACAATGCAAAATAATTGAGGAACAAACTTTCACCAAAGCATCAATGTGCTTACATTCTTTTCTGTGTTATATTGGATGCCCACATGCTCCTTTCAATTGCTGTCAAATTTCTTGAGAGGAAGAACACAGCAGGGTAAGTAAAACCTTATCTCTTCTAGCATCCAGATATTTTCTAAGTTCATCTACAAATTGCTGTATAAGGTACTTCATTCCTTCACTTTCTATCAGCACATCACCAGGAGTGCTGGTACAACCAGCAGAGATGTCTGGCGCCTGTCACTGATGTCAAATCTAATTTAATGCAGGACCTGACTCAAAGGACCTGATATTCCAGTGAAGATTAGAGGGAGTTCATGAAGTCTCTTTAGATGCACCATGATGGCCAAGACTGGGAGCAGAGAATTGTATCAGGTTTGTTGCTTTGGGTGGCAAAACGTCTGCTTGGGAAAGAGGTGGGATAGGTGAAGCTTAAAGGCAGCCTCAGTTTCTCATGGGATAAGGTTTGTGGGAAAGAAAGAAGTAGTGCAAGAGTCTTCTCCTTCCTCCATATGTAGAGGAGGATTTGTGTGCTGAGATGCCACAGAATACAGGAATTGCAGGGAATTAACAATATCAATATAGTCAGGTGGAAGTGTGAATATATGACTGAAGGCAAAGAATTAAAAAACCTTTATTCCTGAAATTTTCTGGGGTTTGTTTTTCAGATGAAGCAAGTGTTGGGAAAAGCAGAGAGAGGAAGTGTTCAGTGATCCTCCACTTTTATTTCCTGGTCCTCCATGTGATTTTCACTTAGAATTACAATGGTAGGAGACATCATTGCAAGGTGGTCCAAGGAACCACCTAGGAGTGTGTGTGTTCCTCATTTTAACCTCCTTCCACACACCCAATCATCTCAGTTGACAAAGGTATAGTTCAAGACCTACTTAAAGAAAAAAGATTGACCATATAAAAGAAGAGAAAATTATTTCCATGGAAGCCTCCAAAACTCCAAAACCTGAAAGGAACCTGTAATTGTCTAATGTTTCTTTGAAGTGTTTGGAGAAACTACGTCATTTCCCACTTCATGTACACACAAAATAACCATTCAATTCTGATCTTGAAGAACACTGAGGTGGCTTTTTCCCTTTTCTTACTAATGCTCCATCTTGAAAAAAGTGGACCAGTAAATTATATAGGTGACAGCTTTTTTCTTTTTCACACTAACTGAGGATCCTTCCAACAAAGAGCATTTTAAATTCATCATTTGTGGTTCTGTAACATCTCTTTTGCACAGCTTGAGTAAAGCAGTCTGAAAACTAAATTCAGAATTTGACTTTCTCAAATGATAATGACTTTACCCAGGCCTTGAAAATGCACAAGGTCCCAAGCTTTAAAGATGTGATGTCACTAAACTCCTTTTGAACATGGACCAAAAGTGGCTCTTCAAAACGATGCCAGCCAAAGTCAAGCTTATAACTGAATTTACAAATTCAGTCATAGCTACATATTTCCATTGCTAAGTAAAATCCTACTGACTTTTCTTACACACTTGATCAGAAAACCTAGGAGAAACAGAGAAGATCCTCATTTGTGTTCATTCTTAAGATAATAATTTATTAAATTAAAACTTTTGTAATCAGGTGACGACAGTGGTGTTATTTAGGTAATCCTTACACCTTTCACAGATGGGAAATATGTCTCACCATACTTTAATATGTTAAAAGCTCAGGAGAATGAATCTCAGCTGACAGCATTTCCATACATAGACCCAGCAATCCATTTTCAGGCAAAACTCTACAGAGCTGACTCATGAAAACTCTAAGCTGTGGAAATATGAAGTATGAACTGCCTGTATCACAGTAACCATATGGTAAGGGACATATATCATAGAAAGTAATATTTTTTAGTGTGTGATTCAGTGATTCCATTTCACTGATTTTGTGCTTGCTTCAGAGGACATATGATCCTTGCACATCTCCTACACTGAATCCAGACGTGATTTGAGACACTTTACAACAAGCCCTCCTGTTTGATATAGTTTATATTTTTTCCTAAGTGAAAAAACAGTTTTCAAGGCTTCAAAATTATGTTGGAAACCATGTCACAAAAAAATATATTGCTACAATTAAAAAAAAAGGGTGGAGAACTGTGAACATTAAATATTACAACATTGTTATGGAAATATAAGAGTATGGTAATACTTTAGCACATCTTCTTGGACAGATCACTTCAAAAATATTTTTCCTTGACAAATCCTTAAAAAAATTATTTTAAACACCTTTTGTGTGTTGTTTTTCCTTATGACAGTGCTTCCTTCGTACATTTTCATTTGCATTTTTTTTTAGCTACTGTGAAAAAAAAAGGAATAAAATATAGCTATACTGGCAACAGCAAGAAGCTGAAATAAGTATTTTGTGTGTATGCACGTATTTGTTCTACAAGAGACTTGAAAAAAACTTTTTGTCCTTGAAAGAAAATTATGTGCAAAGACTGGAACAAAGGAAATGTATTTGTTTTAGTTTGCAATCAAATTTTCAACACCCATCTAATTGCCTTTTCTGGCTTCATGTCCCAGGGGTCTCAGGCCATCCGCTGAGAAACGCTGTCTGAGGGAGGAACACACTGAGAAATAGAATGGCTTTGCAGTAGCAGAGCACCAAAAAAACCCTCCATCATCACTGTTATTGACAAAAAATGTAAGCTCAGGTTTCCATTTCAATAACATGTTTAAATTTCAGGAATTTCTTTCAATTTAAGCAACAAAAAAATAAATCAGCAGGTAACAGATACATTTCATGTGTTTTTTTTGTGCAGTTTAAATATTTTTGTTACTACCTGAAGTCTATTTCTGACACCAGATGTGATCCATAAATTCAGTCCCAGAGGACTGAAAAAAAAATAATGAAGAACCCCACCATTTTTTCCATTTCTTTCATAGAGAAAAATGAAAACTTATTACCTCAGGAGAAGGCAGTTCAGTCATATCTACTGCACCACCAATTGGTGTAGAAAGAAGTTTGTCACCTAGAATACTTTTCAAGCAGTCTGCCATTACTTCCTGCTGTTTAGGGCTGCAGTGGTTCTCCAGAGACAGTACAACTGGATAGGCAGATGACTGGAAACATAATTTTAGGATTTTATTATTAATAAATAAAAATATGAATAATTGCTTTTCCAAAATATCTTACAAAAGTCCCCTTGGCCATCTGTATTTACCTTCATTTTCAAAAACTTCAGAATATAGATCACTTGTTCCACGTTAGTAACACAATAAAACAGGTAACATTTGTGGAAAAAAGAAAGCACAATTGAAGAAGAAAAAAGAAATGCACCTTCAGAAAGTTAAAACAGAGCTAGACTTATATGAAAAAAGAACTGCTTTGTTTTGGTTTAAAAAGGTAAAATCAGATTCTAAAATTAAAATTGACAACATAAAGCAGAATTAAATTTCTTTTGCTTTCGTTTATGACAGATTTTTTGACTACTTTTCAAGTAGACTATCAAGACTTGGATAGTCTCCCCAAAGCTTGTTCAGAAATTATTTCCTTTACATGAAGAAGCTATGCATTTTTTTTTATTTTTCACAATACCACAAACTTTTCTAGGGACAGTATACACTTTTCTCATCACACTGCTCAAGCAAGGGTAATTGAGTAAAAATTAAAGGTAAAAGGTGAAAAAGGGAAAATGAGTAAAAATTAGAGAATAACTCAAAAGAAATGCATCCATCTAAACTTATAAGTAAATCTCATAAGTTGCAGATAATACTGGTGGATACCAAAAATATAGTCTGAATGAAATCTTTGCTCAGGCAGAACTTAAATTGTCAATAAGGAAAACACCATTTTATATTTTTCCTGTCTTTACATTTGAGCACTTGCTATTGACTTTTAAGAGAAGCAAAGCTCAGCCTGTGTGGACAGCTGGTACCAACCATTACCTGTTGTGATTTTATCATCTCATTGGCACTTGGGCTTGAGAACTGAAGTTTGAATTAGAGTTAAGCACAATTTGCTGTGTTAGCAAGAATAGGGAAGTTTTATCCAGTGGGTTTTGAAAAACAGTGGAATAAAATCATGTTTTTAATTTCACTTTTAAAATCAGAGACTAATTAAATTTTATATAGAAAACAGAAAAAAAACACAGCTTTGATTAACACTGAGAAAGCTATAAATACATATGCTTGAAAATCCACACAAATTTATGATCGTGGATGTATATATTCACACACATAATGCTGGCCTGATTCTGAGATTTATCTTAATAGTCATTCAGCACTTCCTTTGAGCAGGAGTTTTGCCAGAAGCTTATACAAAAGCCTGAGACAGTGCAAAAACTCTCCAGATTTCAGTGAAAGGAACTTTGCTCTGATGAGTCACCTGACTAAAAAACATCAGTAGTTGCTAACATTTATCAGTGTCAACATTCAAAATCAAAAGAGAGGAAATGGAAAACAAAGTCTCAGACTCATCTATTATCTAATATTTTTGTCTATTTTATAAATTCACACATAGGATACAAGACAGACTCATAGCAGCAGAAGAATAAGTGACAAAAAAACCTTTAAAAGATATAAGGAAGGAGGAAAACATCAGACCAGTTCTGAACTAGGTCTTCAATATATATTCAGTCCTTGTTTAAATTATGTCAGGTGAGAATTCCACCTAACAAGCTGAGTGAGATCACCTGAATCCTTTGCACTAAGTTTGGTTTATATTCATTATCAGGAAAAATGATGATGATTCCTTTAAAAAGATTTTAAAATACATTAAGAACAAATAGCACAATTGCTCTGTAATTAGTTTTTAAAATACCATTGCCACAGTCTCTGTTGCATTTTTTTTTTACCCTGGAGAATTTACAAGAGCCATGTCCCCACTTAGTTAAAGCCACCATCCCATTCTACCCAACTCATGTATACACACACAGATCTGTACGTACCATAAATGCATACTTGTCAATCACATGAATTACAGAACGAAATGGAATTTTGCTTGTTAAAGTGTGACCATGATACACAATAGGTTCATTGTTGATGCCATCCCAGCAGTCAATCTCCAGGCAACGGCATCCTTTTAAGAGAGCACTTCAGAAGAACAAGAGAAACAATTTTACAGTCAAAAGAAAGATACCAAACTTTTTTATACAAGTTGCTGTGTTTCTGATTACAAGCACAGGGATTAATTACAGAAAAAACACCTCATTTTCACCATAAATATAAATCCTACAGAATTATATGAGACAGACATACTTTCTGTTTCTGCTTATTTTAGGTGTGTGTTATTTAATAAACTTTATTAGACCTTTAAAGAATATGGGATTACCTGCATTATCTTCCTTAAAAGGCTAAAAATCAAAGATTTCAATAAAGGAATTTTGGAACAAAGGCAAATTGCCACTTAAAATAAAAGCATAAATATTTTAAATGCTCTTTTGTGCTACTATTCCAAACTTGCTTAGAATTTTAAGAATCATTATATTTAAAAATCTATTGTACTTAGAGAATCAGGTTGCAGTTGGTCTTTACATAAATCAGTTCCTCTCCCCAGACCACATTTCTAAGTGCTAAAGTTTCTGAGACACCCTGACTTTACTGTTTTAATCTGAATATGTTAGTGTCATCCCTTAAATTCTTAGGTTTCTAATATTTGACTTGCAACTATCTGAAACATTTCTTATAAACTGTTTTACTTAATTGCCAATCTGGCTTTTACATCCTGCTTTTCACACATTAACAATATGTCAAATATGCCTTTAGCTGATTTTAGCATTTTCCTCACACATATAGGAGATAGAGAGGGGGTTATACCGTCTTTGCAATTACTTTCAGCAATGCAGCATTAACATAATGGAATTTTAAATACTGTTAGAGATTCAGTACTGTTTCTGATGGTTGCAAGTCACTATAGAACATCAAGAGAGAAACCACAAAAAATAAAAAAGGGTTCAGATAGATGATGTTTCCTGCTGCTTTCTCTTCATTAAAGTAGTACAAATAATAGGAATTCTGGATGCATCTCCTCTTAATTCTTAATATATCCTGCCCTCACAGTGTTGCATTTACTACACAATTAATCTCCTTCTTCCCTGCCTTGGCAATAAGGCATCCTGGTCATCACCCTCTTGGAGTCACACACTGCACAGATTCCTCTCCCTGCTGCCTATTTGAATGCCCATGTTTTGTTGTTTTTGTTGTTTCTAACCTGCCCACACTGCAACCTGCACTGAACACAGATATCCTTGACACAGACATACTCCAACACACATCCTCTACATTGAACAGATCAGAGCTTGCCCGGGAATTTTACATTTCTTTCAGGGAGTTATTTATTTTTGCATGGCGTGTTGAGATTAAAAACTGATTTAATCATGTACTGTACAATATACTATAGATTTCATTTGCTGCAAGGTTGATTTTCTGAGATGTAAGTGAAAAAAATAGATTGCTTCCAGACTATGAACAGATGGTTTGGCAAATATATTGAAAAGTGTACACACAAAATAAAATACCACTCTCATTTCAACTTGTATCTTTGATGGCTTTGTCCCTTATTTCCAAGTAGGATTGTATGTGACTTAGCATTAATTAAAAAAACAAAAAGCCAAAGAAAGTTTAAAATATTAAAAAATTATGTCTATATACCTGGTATATCCCCATAAGTGACTGGGTCCCATTAGTTGGTCAGCTATCAAGTAGGTGTTGTGAGAAGATGAAATAAAATAGTCACATAATGGCTGGTTCATATCTTGATAGATGGTCTTGTGCTGGCTTTTAAATATTGAACATTCTTCTGAGCTCATGTACCTTATAAATCCTTCAAATGACAACTGCCTTTTCTTCCTCACTAAACAAAAACAAAAGGAAAAAAAGAAATCTCTGCTGTGAAGCCACTCTGATGCACTTCCTGAAATTTTTAATAGCCAATTCTGAGCACTGCTAAAGGTTATACAGCACAACGCTTTCCTGCAATTTTAAAATTCACACCAAATGTATAAACAACACAAACATCAGATACGTGTGACTCTGGAGCTGAATTGCTGTGGTTCAAACTTCTGAGAGGAAATAAATGTGTTTTGACACTTTTATTCTTCTATGGACAGCACTAAGAAGAATTTTCAGTAGTCCTAATTAAATATAAATAAAATATTTGTCATTTACTTTGGAAAGTAACATGCCAGACAACGTGTTAAGGGAATCTTCTTTTCTCTTTAAAAAGAACCAGGATTGTTCTCTAAAAAGTCAGACATTCTCAATATGATCTTGCAGAAACTATGACTTCTAGCACCAAATGTCTTCACCAGGGGTGGAAAATTCCAAATAAATATTGATCAAATCATGTTTAGAAATATTTGAAATAAAAATAGCATTGTAATCAAAGAAATAACTGCCTACACAGATGAATTGCAAATCAAGCTTATTACACTACTATATTTATAACAAAATGAACTAATTGAGTCCATACCAGTGATAGTCATCCCATTTGTTTTGGTTTTGACTGATTTAATGGCAAACAGAGCCATTACACTGCCAGCTACTGCTCTCAATGTCATGTATGCAATGCAGTCATTTTACAAATGATATAATTTCAAAAGTTAGATTTGCTTCAAAATATAGTTTGAATTAGTGAGGGATTTTGTCCAGTTCTTCCTCTAAAATAATTTTATTGTCACCATTAGGCTAGTAGTTAACAATAAGTAAATAATCCAAGATTATTTTATGTTAATAATAACTTAGAAGTCGATGTATACAAACTTGGGGACTGGAAATACCTGTAGGAAAACCCCCTTTTCCGCCCTAGTAATTAAACTGCAGCTATAAGAATCAGAATGTACAAGTTAGAATTGCAATTATCGATCTTTGGTGTGTGACAGACTGAAAGTTTTACACCTGGATGAGAATTTACAGAAAATAATTGTTTCTCAATTACACAGGTCTTTGAACTAGAAAACTTGCAATGTTTTACAATGATAAAGAAAAACAGAAGGGCATCCAGACATCAAACATGCATTCACCCAACAACTTATTCCTACCAGAAGTCTTTCTGAAGTTATTCTTCCAGTCTTTCATTGATGAAGAATCCACAGACAACCCAATAAAACCATTTCAACAGCTAAATAACCTTGTTAGGAAATTTTTCATAATTAGGAAACAGAAATTTACCCTGAAACTTCCTTGCTGTCCAAAATATTTGTTCTGCTTGGTATTATTCCTCTCCTCTTTTTTCACACTTTTTCTCTTATGAACACTGCTCTTGTACTTCCCACTTTCCACTCCTTTCTTCAAAAACAAATCCAATCCAGGGCATCTTTCTGTTTCAGATTTCTGATAATTTTCATTTTTCTGCTATCCAGCCATACTGTTAATCTTTCATAGGAGAAAACAGGATACTATTTCTTCATGGAATGTCCTGACAGACTGCTACTCACCTTTGCCATCTTACAAGGGTTTACATATTTATTATTTTCTCCATTTTTTTTTCTAGTCACTGACAGTGACTAGTTCTTTGGATGTTCCCTTTCTAAAACAGATATTACATTTGATCTTTTCCGGTCTTTCAATTCATCATTCATTTCCCCCCTATTTTCAAAAGTAACCTTTGACTTGTATTAGTCAAGCTTGTTACAATTTTCTAAGAACTTGGATTTGTCAACCTGTCTTCACTGACCTGATTACATCATTTAAGAAGGTCCTACCCTGTTCCATCCATATTTTTGACTGAGATCTTACTCAGATTAATAATATTAATAATATCACAGAGACAACTGTACTTATTGCATCAGGAATTTCTTTTGTCTTCTTTTAGCTGAGAGATTTGCAGGATGACTTCTTGCCACCTTGATGGCTCTTGAAAAGTGAATCCTATAGATTTATCCACATGCACGTGTTATATTGTTCTATACTTGTAACAACTGGATTAAGTTTCTACTGTCTGGATCTTTAAAAAACATTTTGAATTTTTTCACATTACTCAAAACAGAATACACTCATCCTGTATGCTTTGCCTATAATGAATTACATGAACTGTCTGGATTTCATTTTGGATTATTTTTTTTTCATGGTCTATATATTTCTCTGAGCAATTAAAAGTAGAGCTAGTAACTATTTTATTTTGTGTGTGTGTGTGTGTACATCTTTTATTTTCTACCTTTTCTGCATTTATTTATTAAATTAGTGAAAAAATGCTGGCTTTTCAAAGTCTTGCTTTTTTTCTGAATTATTTATGATGTTTTCCTGGTTCTTGTCATTGACAAAAGTTAACTGCAATATTCTCAAGAGAAATTAATGTTTAGGCAAATATGCTAATGAGCATAATCCCCAAAAAATGAACATCTAGCATTGTTTTGTTAGTCAATATGTAAGCTCATAGACTTCAGTAAAACAGTCAGCTCATGTCTCCAACCAACAGACTAAAAATCTTTGTATTTTTACAGAGCTTACATTTCTGAGGAATAGCCCAGCCATGCTATTTTCTGACCACTTACAGACATTTTCTGCTTCTACATTAAAGGAAATGGGAATTCATCTCCATAACTATTCCACAATGAAAAGACTTTCATCAAGACCTTACATTTCTCCCCTGGAGGAACCTCAGTCTTTTTCTCCGTTAGGACCTTTTAGCAGTAGTTAGTGTGCACACACATATCCATCTGTTGTAGAAAGGGAAGGCAAGAAAAGATTTCTGTCTTCTCATTGCCTCTTTTTGTTCACAAATTTCAATGATTTTTTTTTCCTGCCCTCCTCTTTTGGATAGTGTGCAATTCATTTTATTAACAATATTACTTTATATTGTTTGGGGTTTTTTTAAATCTGATTTAATAAAAAATTATTTTTCTCATTCCTCCTGTTAAGGTAAACTCCAGCTCTGCCATATATACAAATACTGTCGTATCAGAGAGGAATTATGGATATAATCTGGATATTTGAAAAACTTGGATTACATTATACATTATTTTTAGAATGTATTACATTCCGTTTTTCTTATTTACCTTGGAATTTCTTTGAAAGTGTTTCTCTTCAGAAAGAAAAAATGGAAAACTATCACAAGATGTTTGCTGCCCTGAAGGCCTTTAGAGTACCCGCAATGAGACAGACAAAACAAGCATGAAATCACTCTGCACTGGCCAGAGCCTCCTGCACGACCCGTTTTCTCCTGAAAGGACTGAGTACAACCTGCAGCCCTGCCAGGGTCTGGGAGAGGTGTCTGGACTGAAATAGAGACTCAGGAGTGGGGAGGAGAAGAGCCTGAACTGAATGTGAGACTAGGAAATGTGGAGAGAGAAATGTTTCCCATGTTTTTAAATGTATGTGAGTGCTCTTTGCTTCCAGAGAGCTAAATGAGTAATTAAATGTCTATGGTACTTGGGACAGAGACAGTGGAGTGGGTACAGATACATTTGCTGGGAATTTTAGGGGTGAACTCATGAGAAATACTTGCAATCAGAGACAAGGGTTTTACTCTGCTATAATGGAAGGAGGAATCTTTCAGTCATTAAAAGTCAGGCAGAAACATCATCAGATGGAATTTCATACTATGAAACTTGACTACATCAGTATGAAACATTCATGCTCTAAAGGAACAGTAAAGAGAGAAGTATTTCCTTGACTAAAGTTATAATACACTTAATTCTTTTCTAGTCTCAGTTTATATTCTAGGGAGGCTTTTTCTCCCTTACCCACACTTACAGCTGGAGCATGCTGGAATAAAGTATCTATCTGAACAGCAGTTCAGTTTTCTAAGGGTTTATATCTCATAATCACCTTGTCTTGAAAATTTTCCCTGAGACTAGACTTTTACACATCTTTTCATAATCTGATATATTGTGTCTCACAAATCCAGCCACAGCCATTGTCTTAGCTGAGATTTTTAAGCCATCTTTCTTACTTCACATGATTTTTTATGAAATCTGTGGGAGTTTGGCAGAGATGTCTACTTTATTAAGTTTGATTTACATTGGCCAATGGGATCAAATGCTCTCTTCTGCAAATTTGTGCTCTATATCCTGCTCTGTCTCACATACACAAAAAATCCCAAAAAAACCTTCACGACTGTGTGCACTAGGAATAAACTGAGAATGTTTTTTTTTTGCTTCACAAATACATTCTGGATTACTCAAAGTCCCTGTCTGACAGATGCACCAGGCTTATATTGTTATTTACAAAGCAAGCTGGTTTTTTTTAAGACAGGATTGCATTTTTGCCCTGTTTTTGTATTGCCTAGCAGGAAAATAGTCAGGAGTAGAGTCCTTGAATGGCTCTACATTGTAAATAATACTGGGATGCACTTTCTTATCCTCACTGTGCCTCTAATCCTATCTATGTAAATGAGAAATATTTTTTTTAAAAAAAGACATATATACCAAGCTTAAAAAAATTATTTAGTTAGCATGTTTTCTTTAATCTCATTTAATGAGTTGAGTCTTCTATTCAAAGCTAATAGTAAAATGGGAAGATAATGGAATGTTTGGGAAGAATAAAACTGTCATTTGGGTGCTAGTAAGACACACCTGTCAGGTGTGAATCACCTATTTTGTGATCAATTCCATAGAAATGGCTCTTCCTACCAAAAATGCAAGGTTTTAGCATACACGTGAAAAAAATCTGTTAGTGTAGTATTTTGACATTAGGCATTTAAATTGTATAACAAAAATGAAAGATTAGTTTATTCCATACTGTCCTGGGCTAGCTACAGTACCTACAGAGAGTAAATTCAAAGTTATCTGGCTCAATGATTTTGAAAATCTCTCTGCACAAATGTTAGGGATGCACTAGATGCTATAAATGGATTTATTTAAATTATATGTAAAATGTAGTCATTGTTTTCATCCTAATCTTGACATACCAGTGCTATCACATTTATGAGAGAATGGTCATTACTATTGGCAAACCTGTCAATCAAATGTCAAAGCCTGCCCTTTTCCCTTTTTGTAAGACACAGGGAGGGCAAGGGTGACAGATGAGTCCAACAGATCATCCTGATGAATAATGTTCTGTAGCAAATTCAGAACGACACTTACACAAAATGGTCTATCACAATACCATATGAGTCATCTCTCATGTCAATCATAACTGGAACTTTTCAATAAATATGTTTGAGTGGGAGTATGAATTCACTCAAAGGAGCATGAACAATACAGAGGTTATTTTGTTCAGAGAGATTATTTCCAATAACAAGACAAACAAATTTATCACAGGTGAAGAAACAAACAAGAAATTGTCTCAGCATCTGAAATTTGAACCAGACATTAAATTAAACCCATAGAAAATTCAGTTGATATTTATAAAGGTGTTTTCTAATGGACTGAAGATTGTTCATTGTTTAACTGTGCTATAGATTTTAACTTTCCCATCAAAACACGTAACACAAAATAAAAGGAACCTTTTAAGCTGGTAATTTGAACAATTAGCAAACATTAGTTTCTCTGAAAGAGCAGAATATGTTTAATAAAATACAGTTAAATTTGAAAGGCAACCTTTAAGAGTAAAGGCATAAGGAGTCACAAGTTTTTATTACTGGACAGTAAGTGCCTCTAAATGAAACACCAAATATTCTTCTGTTTCTCATTGAAAAAGTGGCATTTTCCATTTTCTTCTTCCACCACAGGTCAGCATAGAAAATCCCATGCTATTTTCCCAGAAGAAATATTTTCCCTTTGGGTTTGTTTTATTTAACCACTTATCAATTCCACCCGTTTTCAACGACTGGGAACCAAGGAAACGAAAGAATTTAACATATTCCACTGAATAAAGTAACAGCTTGCAGCAAAATGCAGTTATATCCTTTTCCTAGTTGTAAATTTTGCCACAAGTTGAAATCAGTGACGTTCAGCAGAAGTGTTACACCCCAACTTGAGGCACCTTTACATAGGTAAAGAACAAATTACAGATTTATGAAGCCCTCCTCATCTCAGTGTTCTAGTGATTCACAAAAGGTGACCAGGCACCTACAAAAATTTTCCACAGTGCTCCTGCAAGGAAGTCAGAAGGACATAAAAGTCTTGTCTGAGGCCTTGAATTTTCACTAAATGACTCAAGGGAGAGAAGCAGAGAAGAAAAATGGCAGATATGGACCTTAAGAAAAACAAATAGAAAATGGTTTGTAATGAGCTGAAGAACAGAATTTATAGAAGGACTAGAAATAAAAAGATAAAGAAATGACAGAAAAAAGAACAGAGCAGAGAAAGGAGGGCACCATGAAAAGAAATTAAAACACAGGAAGAAAACATAATAAATAGATGAAAAGACATGCTTTTAAAGAAATAAATAAATGAGGTTTAGGAAAACACAGTCATTGAGAGAAGCACAAGAAAAAAGAGCTACATATCAAATAGTTAAACAGTACATACCTTCATCAATGGGTTCATACTTCATAATAATTTCTAAGGCAGTTGTTTCATTAGCTTCAGTTTGAAATTGTTCTTTTATAAGAAATTTAAGGAGCTGGCTGTCAGGTAGAATTTTGCCATCTGTCGAGTAAGCCTTGAATAGTTCTTCAAATTCAGGCCTGTGTACAAGAGCTCGATAAATTGCTCTGAAGTCGTCCACGCTAATAATATTTCCTGACTGTTTGTCAACAGTTTTCTGAGGGAAAAAAGCAACCAAAATTTATTAAAAAAAAAAAGAAATTAATGAAACAACATGAAATTATACAAAGTTATGCACCAAACACTCTTTTATAACTGACCATAAGAGTGAGCATCATAGAAGAATCCTCAGGCAACAATGACTACAATCAGATTACACTCCTCAACATTTTTAGATGACACTTTGTGTGCTACAAATATTTTATATAAAGTAAAATGGACCATATGACACAATTAGCATCTAAATAAGTGCAATAAATTTAGATTTAATGCATTTTTAATATTCAAACACATTGTAGAAAATCTTTAAAATGCTATGCATTAAAATAAATGTGCAGCATAAAACTTATCAAGTGGAAAATATATTTAGTATAATACGTCTCCAACAGCTATTTACACCATATTGTAACTACTGTCAGTCAAATTTGCATACAAAATCAGCAACCAGTAATCTTAAAAATGAAATAAGGATGACCAAATTACCAAGAAATACAAACCTTTCAACACTTCAAATAAGAAACAATATTCAAGTTTGAAGACAAGATATTTTGTAATAACCTATGACATCATGTTCTATTCTTAACAAGCCAGAATGTTTAATTGAGATTAATTATTCACACTTTCAGAATTCTTGAATTGTAAGCTTGTTTTCATACAGCTTACAAAATGTTAGCATAGTAATTAATTTCTGTGTTTCAGTATAAAAGCCACTAGAAAAGTTAAAAGGCCAAAAGAATTTGAGAATAATGCTTTATTACCATTTCTGCTTTTTACATTTTTCACAGGTTTAACAATTCTATTTTTCCTTTAAAATTTTCTACTTAAAATAAGTAACTGCATATATATATAAATAAGCATAGAAATAAATATATGTATTGCATATATATAAATAACTGCATTTATATATAAATATAAATATAGAATATATTTATATATAATAACATATGGAAATAATATAATATAATATAATATAATATAATATAATATAATATAATATAATATGTATAATAAGATATGTAATATGTATATTAAGATATAATAGCATATATATAATAATATATAACATATTCTATTCTATTATATATACTGTATACTATATACTATGTATATTAATATTGTTTATTAATATGTAATATAAAATATAGTATTTACTATATACTATATGCTGTATATTGTATATATTATATGTTATATATTAATTAATTATATATTTATTAATTAATTAATATAAATATAGAAATATAAATGTTTCTAACATTTTGGCCTGATTTTTGCTTAAAACTTGCCAAATCAAGAGAAATCTTCTGACAAAACTGCTCACAAAAACCACAAATGGCAATCCACTGCCTCAGTGATTATCACTGTAAGCTGATGAAAATTTTCAGTTGTTGGCTCCTTAAAGTGAGACTGCCAAAGAGACCACGTTCCAGCATCCAAATATCCAAACATGGCACTTACTGTGGCTGGTTTGGCTTCCACACAAATGTCTATAAACAGGAAATTGTTTACTTGAGCTCTGGCTGCTCTTTGCCAAGACTTTGGATTTACTGCTAAATTAGGTTGGTTTTGAAGCCATACCATGAAAGCTAAAAGTTTAAAGATCCAGTGCCAGTTCCTTCCTATGCAGTAAAGTTCCTACTGTGCTTCTGAATAAGTACAATAGGAATAAAAATATTTTAGATAACTGAAACGAGTACAAAATTAAATTTCACGAGGAGTTCTAGTGAAAAAATCTTACAAATGAGTACTTCAGTATTTGCTTTGAGTTTGTGAAGGAGAATAATAATGATCATCATTAACAGAAATCACCAGCAAGAAAATATTTCTGTACAAATGCTAATTATACACATTTCATTACTGCTGAGAAATTCCCCATCTAAGGTTGATTTCTTCCATCCAATTTTTAATGTTCTTAACAATGCTGCAAATTTGTTCATAACCATTAAGCAGGAAAAGAAAATACAAACTTATTTTGAAAATAAACAGTCTATCAGGACTTGGAGGATGTTCACTTAGTTACTGGCACAAAGAGAAGCTGGACAAAAAAGTAAATTTTCTATTTTAGTTGCCTCCTGATGAAATACAGGCAATAATACTACACAAAAGAATTCTTCAAATTAAAGTTATAAAAATCATGTCACTATAAAAAAGATATTGTAAATTTTGGGGGTAGATTTTTATCATTCCTATTTTTATTAATGCACATCAAAATTTGCTGTTCAGAAAAAGAAGAGACAAAGTCTTGAGAGAAATTATATGAAAATTTATTATTCCTTAAAACCTTAATGTTCATAATCCTGATACTGCTCAAAAGAGTATTATAGTAAAATAAACTCAAAGAGAACAGACTAGAAAAAAAGCTGATCATTCCTTAAAATTAGTTTTCTATAAAATGTATTTTGCTATGTATAACCATTAGATTAACTGCTGATGTGCAGTTAATTACAAAGATGTCAGTAACATTCCTTTCCAGAATGCTTTGGATTTTTACATATTATTTCACTGATGTAATATTTGAACCCCCCAAACTACTGAATCCCTGTAAATCTTTCTCAAATAGCATAGGGCACCTAACAGTACTGCTATAAATAACTAGATCAGACTATTGGGTATAATATGTTGTTAAATACAACTAGATCAGACTTGTTCTTTGCAGGTCACTCCCTCAAATCTTTTCTCTTCCCACAGCTGACCATCTCTCACATTCCTACCAGAAACCAAAGTAGGGGGAAGATAGAGGAAACAACGAGAAATATTTTCAAGTTCTCAAGAGATCTTCTAGGTTTGAAACTTTCTCCATGCAGTGCAAGTTCAAAAAACCACAGGAAGCCTCTTCAGCCAGGGTTGAGCTAATGCTGCTGGTTCTACCTTGGCTTGAGAAGGCAAACAATGAGAGAGGAAGACAGGGTGAGGAAAACTCAGAGTCTTCCTTCTTATGAGCTTTCTGACTCGCCATAGTTAATTCTCTCTGCCAAATTAGGACAAAATTTGCCAGCTGGTTGCAACATTCTCAAAAGAATCATATCTATGAAGGTGAAAATAAGTAAATATGCATGTATTTATATAAATCTATATATATACACGCTTGTTTTCATTCCCTTAGGGAAACAGCATTACCAGACAGCTGTTTTTTTGGGGGGGGAGGGGAAATGATGTAAAAGGGAAAATCTTACATATTTTGAGTCATTACATGAAGAAAATATGTACCCAGTACTCATTTGTGTAGTATTTGCTCACTGAGACAAGATCTGCTTGGCAGTAGTTTACTTGCCTGCAAAAAATTAAGTCCAGCTTCTAGCTGTATCATGTAATATTCACAGAAATCTCTTAAAAACTGCCACCTCTCAAGGCCAAATCCATTCCCAGGGAGTTAGAGAGCAATTCCCATCCATTCAGGCACACCTCTTAAATATTACAGGAGAGATATAGTGGAGAAAGGAATGAATGTGTGCTGTATCTAAAGCCTGAACAGCTCAGAGAAGACCCTATTGTCCTCCTGGAAAGAGGATTTTGAGAAGATTGCTCTCATGGCTCTGTCCAGAATCAGACAGACATGTCTGGGCTCATTAGCTTGACCAGAGAAGCTGAATAGGATGAAACCAGAATGCTTTAACTTTTCTCAAGTGTAGACATGTTACAAAAAATCCTGGGAATCAAAACCAACATATTTTCCATCTTACACTAATTTGTTGTGGAGAAAAGACAGAGTTATGTGGGTGTCAGTCTCTCCGAGTAGAACAAGCAGTAGGACAAGCAGGAGTGGACTCAAGTTGTGCCAGGCTATTAGGAAAAATTTCTTCACTGAAAGTGTTGTCAAGCATTGGAACAGGCTGTCCAGGGAAGTGTCTGAGTCACCATTCCTTGGAAGTACTTAAATACTTGTAGATGTGGTGCTTAGGGACAAGTTTTAGAGGTGGACTTTTCAATGTATTAATGGTTGGACTCAGTGATCTTAGAGATATCTTCCAACCTAAAGGCTCATGATTCAAATTCAAACCCTGGGTTATCTATTTTACACAGACATGAAAGACCTGGAGGAGGAAAATTCTTTGCTGATTTTGCATACCACACTAGCTTGAAATACATTTCCCAAAAAATTAACTTGAAAAAAATCAGCAAACATATGATGTGTGTAACTGAACTTCTAAACCATTAATTGCTTAATGCACATACACCTTACCTTGAAAATATGTTTTAAATGGTCTTCATCAAAATTTATTTGCATTTTTTCAAGCAGCCTCATGCAACCCTCTAAATCAACATTCCCATTCTTGAAATCATTCTGAATTGTATTCCAAAACCACGTATGAGATGTCAGGTTAAAGAAAATTGTGGCCAATGAAATTGCCTTTTAATGGAGGGGATGAGGGGGAAAAGTTTAATTTCATTAAACCTAAGAAGCTTGTGCTTCCCTTTCCTCATACTCTAGAACATCCTTGCCTTCTGCCCTCTGAGAATGCAGCAGGCCCCAAGGTGTGCAGGAAGAGATTTCTGCTCTGTCCTCCAAGTCCCAGAGAGCAGTGACCAGAGGGGCCGAAGGGAGGGTGTGAAGGAGATCAAGGGGTGGTCAGGGTGCAAAAAGGGCTGCAGTGAGAGGAGGGAAACATGGAGAAGCTGAGGGGATTCAGCAGGCTAAGGGAAAGGTGGGGAGTGCCAAGAAACAGCAGGGAATGAGTGCTCCCAGCACTGTGCCCACCCAAACATTATCAACCGGCCCTGGCTGATGGGCCTGGCTGCCCCAGGCCCTCCAGGGCATCCCCTGTGTGCCCAGGCCTGAGGGGAAAGGGCCATGTCAGGGGAGACCCAATGGCAGCTGTCACAGGGCAGGGAGAGCAGAGGAAGAGGAGAAGGTAGAAGAGGAAAAGGATATCTATTCTCATCCATGGTGACTGTGCACCGCCTGCTCCAGCCCCCTCACTGCAGTGGCATAGCCAGCATCTCGCTTGGGCTCACAGTGGGCTCCTCATGCCACTGTGCCCTGACAGAATGGCATGGAATGTTCGCTCCCCCATCCTTCCAGTGTCGCTCCAGTGCTGCTCTGGTGATGTCACAAACTGCAGGCGCCCAGCACAGGCCCCTTCCTGCCCCTGCTCCACCACCCTGCCACCATCCTGTGCCTTTTCCTTCCAGCACAAAGTGTCTCCAGGCCCTGCCCCCGTCTCCCACCCTTAGGATATCCCACACCCACAGCACATGTCCTGGCAGGAGCTGTGTGGGGCAGAGCAGGCCTTTTGCAGCCAGCCGTGCCAATGTCCTCCAGGGGAGCTTGGCCAGCTTGGCCAAGGTCTCTCTGTCCCGGTCCGAGGCGACAAGCTGGTGAGGCAGAGGCTGTCAGCACAACATCTTCCCCCAGATAACCAGGAGCACTGTGCTACCAACCCACTGCAGAGACCTTGGGGGAAATCCCTTCTTTGGGCCTTGGGGAACCAGCTGGCTTCACGGCACAGGGTGATGGTGGATGTTGTAGAGCTGTGGGATGCCACCCCAAAGTGCTTGGAGGCCACCCAAGCTCCCACTTTCCTGCTGGGAACTTCTCTGTCCTCTAAACCATCCTGGGCAAGAGCAGCTGTCTATGTCCTGCTTTGAGACACACCAGTATCAGCCTTCAAATCACCGGGACAGCCCTTGGGAATCAGGCTGGACTTACACCTTGACTCCATTTCCCACTCGTTTCACAGGAATTCTTCCCCAGGCAAACTTCTTCAAAGTTGCCAGCTTCCATGTAGCTGTCAGCAAGCCTGAGTGAGACTCTAAATGTGACAGACCTAAGGCAGTTTGCCACAGATTTTATGAAACTTGTGAAAGCTGAGGACACCAAGTTTTGTATTGACATTCTGGAAAACATTCAGGTTTTTTCAGAGGATATATGGGGCGAAAATCTGTCGAGGAATTCCCTGTTACTCACACCTTTATGAAGCGGAATGAACTATGGAACAATCAGCATCTGAACACCAAGGTCTCCAGTGCTGAAGTGCCTCAATGCTTACTGAAATCAGCTTTGATACGATGGCCTAAATAAAAAATGGGGAAAAAAGACGAAGTGGAGTTGTTTAATTGATTTATTTCTGGATCACTCAGGAGAGTACAGAGACTTCCATCAGTCAATCACCACTTTAAAAATAATTCAGGTCTGCAGTGACTGGAAATAATTTGGGGTTTTTTTTCACTTTCTTCATGTACTTTTCAAGTACTTTACCAGGAATGGCCAAAATGTCAAAGGCAGCACAGTGCTACAACTGAGATAGCAAGCAAATTCTTATTTTCCTTTGCAGTTTTAACCAAAATTATATTCACTTTTGTAACTTCACACCAAATGAACCACTGATTATAAGGAATCTAGTAAGGAAGATCAGCAAAGCTATTGGGACATTATATCTAGATTTCTTTCGTTGCTACTGAAACCTTGTGAATTCAACCTTCAGGCTTTGCTTGTGCATATATCTCTGAATCCCTTATATAGATTCATGAACAAAAAGAAGATCAGGCCACTGGAGGAATAAATTTCTTATAGCTAGTGCAGAAGATATTTCAGGACTGACCAGGGATGTAGGCTGGGTGTTGCAGCATTAAAGAATAAAGAAATGCTATTCCCCTCTCCCAGTATTTATTACAAAGGTCAAAGGAATGCATGCGATTTTGGTTTACTTTCAAACTCTGATAGTGATTATTTCCTAACATTTATCACAGATTATAACAAATGCCTACCATCCTTGCTGTTTTCTGTAAACATAACTTTTAATTAGAGTTTCAACAGAAACAAAGTTTAATTGCAAGCACTACTGTAAATACTACACTTAAAAAAAAAAGGTGTAAACATTTAAGCATTATTCTTGCACATATTAGATGTTTTTATTGTAAGCATAAGATTTTGCTGTTGTTCATCACAGCTGGTGGGAATTGCAGTGCCACATGGGTCGAACACACTCTTTTGTAAATACTCATTTGTGGCTTTATAGATTCACTGCTGACTGGCCATGATTGCTCTCATTGTCTTGGTTTTAAAATGTCATAAAGAACTATGCATTGATATGGTTTCAAGGAGAAAAAACTGTGCAAAAATGGGCATCTTCAGATTACTCTTCTGATGACAAATGAAGATTTTGCATACTTACTGCCCTCTGATTTGGGAGGTTCCTTTCTCTATGTATCTGGATATGATAATTAATATCCCAGAGAAACCAATGCAGTTGAATAGAGAGAAAGATGGAGCACACAGAGCATTTTCTGTGCTCCCTCCGTTCTTCAAAGAGAGCTGCATTACCTTTGGGTCATTCTTTTTTCACCCCACAGCTGCTACTGATATCCATCCAATACCAATCCAACCCTTTAGTGCCCATTTCCTGCTGGAGACCATTCAGTGAACAAGCAGCTGTCTTTACATGAAATTTGGTTGAATAAGTGATTATTTCTTTATTGAAAGTAGGAGTAATTTTATTAAAAATGTTATACAATCCAGGGCTGTTATAGTGAAGATGGCTTATTGGGAGTGTAGTTTATATCTTTATATCTGCAGTACCAGAAAATAGAAGAAATTTTGGCCATAGATGTAAGTGCTAACAGAAACAGATATAACACTAGAAATTCTGGATTGGAAAAAAAATCACTTTTTTCACAAATATTGAGCATTTTTGAACAAATTGAACAAATAATAGGGAACAATATTGAACAAATAATAGGGAACAATAAAGAAGGATGAAAAAGATGGAACAGTTAAACGACTTTCAGTTTCAATATTTATTCCACCAGATCAATCCCTTATGAGATGCAATTTTGTGATACATTGTTTTGTTCTGTAGAATTAAATTCTCTCAACTTTAAAATGCTGTTTCTATATAGTAAAACTGTAGCAAGAAGTGCAATAATAAAAAGTATTTAATATTGTAGTATCAGTCTATCAGTCTACCTTTATGAACTTCTCATTTTCTTTCAATTTCCTTTCTCTAGAAAAGAGGAGATCTATGAAACCAGAATTTGTAACAAAAGCTGCTCAGAAGGATGAAATTTCAGCAGAATAAATGTTCTGATCTCACTGAAAATGCCTACTCATTTTTTGCAAGGCTATGAAATTAATCTGAAGAAGGTAATTAATTACAAAACAGGCTTTGTCAATTTTCCCTCTACATTCTCCAGGATGGGCTTTGATTTATTGTATTTTATTTTTTATTTTTTTTATTTTTGGAAAGTGGAAATTTGAAGAAGAATAAACATTATGAGAAGAAACTGAAGGTGTACAACTCCATGGAAAACTTCTCTGAACTTTTATTTATACATTTTTGTGCCTCTGAATGTCTTTGAGACTTCTTTTTTTGTCTGTAAGTGATTTTTTTCTTGCATAGGGAATATGCCAACTTTCATTATGTTTATTCCTGAAATTTCCTCCTGTTCTCTCTAATGCTTTGAAAACCATTCACATTCTTATAGCTGCTTGTGAATCCCTCTCTTTTATTTTTTTTCAGTTCCCTGTATTTTAAAATGTAATGAAGGATTGGCATGTACAATATATGTATATTTATATATACAACAAAAACAAAAATTCAAGTTTTCCACTGCAGTAAGGAGTTCAGCACACCTGGAATTGAAGCTCTGTCCTATTTACAGTCATAGCTCACTGCTGGTAAAGACTTGCTTTGTGCCTGCAAAAATACATTTTTTATATCATCAGGTATCTTCTGGTTCTTCTTATGTTGGGTTGCTCCTGAGTGGCCATGGATCTTTTTCACAGGGAGAAGATCACCTGCTCCATAAGTTCAGAATAGCTTTGCACAGAGATGTAATCCTCTTTCAAAATAAAATGGGAATTTTATTAAAACTCTGCTCCTCCATTTTCAGGTTTGCAGACTCATTGGAATCACCAAGTTGGTACAAATGCACCTGAGGCAAACTGGTTCAAATTTTTTATTTCTGATCGTAATTTTGAATCTCTCATTAACTTGCTGTAAAGAAAATTATCATTTTTACTACGCCAGTAACATTAGAGTTTAGCTTGGACTTCATTGTCACCTTACAGCTGCATTAAAATGAGAAGACAGCATTTGGACTGAATATTTAATGTTCATTTTAAAGTTTGCTTCATGTTTTGCTACCACTACAGCAGGTGGAAAACCTATCAAAATGAAAACAATGGAACAAGCTTAATGATTACATTTTCAAATATATATGTGGAATTATAAACTAATTTATTTTTTGTTTCAGAATAGATAGATAAATCTGTAACAGGCAATAAAGACTCCAGTTATCTGTTGGCAGAAAGCAAAGTCTATCAACATTCCTAGTCACTGGAAGAAATTAATGTTTTCCTCTCTACATTTTCCAAAAATTCTTTCTTTGCTTCATTCATGGAACAGAAAAGACAATTTTTGTAAATCAAAACACCTTGCTTGTATGTCTTCCAGCTTGTAGTCTGTACTAAAATCTCCATTGTATGCCTAAATTCCCATTCCTTTCCAAACTGTGAGAAAGAAAAGAAAATATGATTTTAAAACAGAGGAAATAATAATGAAGGAAATCCAAAGAACCTTCTGTCAAGTGTCTCTCTCACTGAGCTCAAACAACCAACACCGTGATGCTGCAGCTAGAGTAAGACTAAATTCAAGGATTATTTTCCCTTCTACAGTAAGAATGGTTTAAAATGTTCCAATAAATCTGAAAAAGCAGATTTATTACATGCCAAGTGCAGGATATTTTCTAAGTCTGTATGTCAGTATGCCATTCCTGGCCAAATATTGGATTTTATAGTCCTTTTTAATGAAAGCTGCAGAGTTATAAAAAATGTGGAATGGTTTTAAAAAGTCACTATTTCAAAAAAAAAACCTATTTTGAGCTATTCAAAGCATAATATCCTGGGATTCTCCAAAGTTATGAGACATGTTTGTTATAGTACAACTTTGGAATTGCCACCATACAAAACTAAGGGAACAAGAGACATTAATAATAATAATAATAATAATAATAATAATAATAATGAAAATCAATTACCCATGCCATATTAGATCATTAATGTAATCCATTATTCTTGAATGGAAAAAGGAACTACTACACATCCTTAAATTAATACCCAGAAAATGTCCTGAGACACATTATTAAGGGGATGGAAGACCAGCATCTAGATTAAATTAGAGACAACAGTAGCTGGCTCTTAAAACCTGAGGCAGGGATTAATATAATTATATTAATATATATATAAATATATAATTAATATATATAATATATTGCAGGTGTGCAAGGCAGCCATGATCCCAGATGAAACTCTTTGATAGCTGATGCAACTTTCTTTCACAAAATGAAAAAGCATTAGGAAACAAGAAATTTTCTATCCTGGTTGAAGTTTAGAATTACAAACCTACATCCTCAAGCACGCTGCTGTGTTCTCATGTATGACAGCTTTCTTCTCTGCAAAGATTCAAGATCTACCTACACAGATCACAGATCAGTGCAGCAGCCCCTGGCAAGCCTACAGCTTTCTAGGTGTGCTCATCTTCACTGGCAGAAAGCAAAGGATCAAAGATCTTTGCTTATTCAGCTGTTCATTGCTTTTTCTTAAATATATTTTGTTTATTCTTAAACACAGGTTTAGAAGCCTGAGGAAGATAAAACATTGGGTATGGTGCTGCACATGTAATTTTACTGTTAACTGACTTCTGAGACACAACCAGCCCACCAAGGAGTTAGACTTTAACCCAAATAAATAGATCAGGCCATACTAAATTCTACACATTCAACTAAGTTGAAACTATGAGTATGTGTTCACAGTCATTCATGTTCATGGCTGGAGATTGTCACAGTGGCTCCTTTTGGCATTAATCCTCCAGTCATTCTACCTGGGCACATGGTGAACTGCCCATTGCATATGGCTCATTTTTTGTCCACCTACTCACATTTATTTCCCTTGGAGGGGAATGTTTAATTTGGGGTTCTG